AGGATAAAGCAACAAGTGTAATTCAGAAACTTAAGTATGTGGCTGCTTTTTTTTGTTTTTTTTGTGTTTTGGCTTGCAGAAAATCTTTTTTATATACATTGTACCTGTCATTTATTATTTTTTGTTCTCAAATCAAGTTAAGAGGGGCTGATTATCATTGATATAACTATGTCAAGTAAGTTTTTATAACACATTTCAATTACAACTTGATGTAGTTCCTAACTGAGATACAATTTGAAATTCATGTAGTTTGTAAAATTAGATAAAAAGTCCTTAAATAAAATTAAACTCAAGTTTAAAAAAATTACTAAATTACAAATGGAATGCAACACTAAGAGAATAAAGAAGGGCAATCAATGAACAAAAGATAAACCCTGGAACAGATAAAACACAAAACGACAAACATTATAGACAAATAACACTGAAAACAAAACTAAATGAGAAACATGGATCACGAAAAACAGGGGCTGTATGTCAGAGGGTGAACAGCCCTCTTATGAAAGTGAGGTAAATGTTCCTGAGTTAATATACCTCTAGTTAAATGAAACCCATTTTCAGACATTTCAAGTACATTAATATTTATACATTGCGTTATAAAAGTTTGGAAAGTTTTTCCCGAAAAAAATGTGAAAAAAGACGAATTTTGTAGGAATCTGGTGCCATTTCATACTTTAGAATAGCATTTATAAAATGGCTTAAAAGACCTGCCGAGTTATTTATTTTCAATACATTGTAGGTCAGGTTATTTATTTTCAAACTACCACAGAACAAACCATTCATTTTTGTTATTATCAAGGCTGAGTTATTTATTTTCAAAATCCTCCTGGCCCCCCCTCAGAATATCAAATGGTTGTCCCCTAATACGAAAATTGAACATTGACTAATGAACCATGAAAATGAGGCCAAGGTCAGATGAACACTGCCAGACAGACATTTCGATCTGATGAGTTAAGCCCTTTTCAACTGACTTTTATAGTTTGTTCTTATGTTGTAATGTTACACCACTGTTCCAGGTTAGGGGGAGGGCCTGGTGCCAACAAACTAGTTTAACTCCGCCACATTTATGATATGTGCCTGTCGCAAGTCAGGAGCCTGTAATTCAGTGGTTGGCGTTTGTTGCTGTTTCTCATATTTGTTTTTTCGTTTTTCGCTTGTTGTTTTGTATGGTTTGATCGTGTGTTGTGCTGTTGCACAACTATCCGGCAGGTTAGGGGAGGGTTGGTGCCTTGGCTTCAAACTTGTTTAACCAGGGCACATTCTGAATGTGCCTGTACCAAGTCAGGGGCCTGTAATTCAGTAGTTGTCTTTTGTTGCTGTTTATCATATTTTTTTTTCGTTCATTGTTTTGTACCTAAAATAGGTCGTTAGTTTTCTCGTTTGAATTGTTTTACATTTGTCATTTCGGGGCCTTTTATAGTTGACTATGCGGTATATGGGTTTCGCTCGTTGTTGACCTATAGCACACCTTACTATAATTCCGTACACCAAATATAGTTGACATCTTGCTTATAGTATCTAAGTTATGAACTTGACCATGAAAACTTAAAAAGAGGTCAAGGTTAGGTGAGCCCTGTCTGACGGACATGTAGACCATGTAATGATCCCATATACCAAATACAGTCACCCTATTACTCATAACAAGTGAGTATTTCACATGACAAAAAAAATAAACAATTTTTTTCAAGCAGTCACTGAACAATGAAAAAGTGGTCAAGGACAATGGACTATGACAGAAGGAAACTTCTTAACATAAGCCATTTGCATACAAGGTATGAAGCATCCAGGTCTTCTACCTTCTGAAATATATAAAGCTTTATGCAAAAAGTTTATGCTGCCGCCACCAGATAGTAACCACTTTGTCTCACATTCTTTTAATGTTAATAAGTTAAAAGTTAATTTCAAAAATAGAAAAATGTTATTGTCAATGGAAGCTGATGTAGACTCTTTTAATATTATTTTGTACTTTTAATAAGATTCAAGAGTAGGTAAAAACATCTAAAAAATTAAAATATCTGTCACTTATGTCAATGATCAAAACCAACATAAAAAAAAACTATGATAAAAATTATTTTAAATGTTTTAATAACAATGCTTTATGTAAAATACAAGATTATGAAACAAACATCATGTTTCAAACATGTTGATAAGCAAAAATTTTTAATTTACGCTCTGCTCTACCTTTACAATGTGTTGACAATGGATTTAAATGGCAATTAGCATGTACTGTTAAGAAATATATAATATATGACATAAGATCATTGCAAAACAGAACCAATATGAGATGACATAATCTAAATTTCTATTTTCTATTGCAATATGAATGAAAGTAAATTTGGGTAATACATCATTGAGACAACAACCCAATGACACAATTTGACAAAAAAACAAGACTTCTTAATAGGAGTAACACCACCATTGTTTTTTCCCTATTGGTCTTTGTTAAATTGGCATTTTTCAAAAAATTGTGCAGAAATTATCCTTGTTTTGAATAAAGAAATACTTGGCATGAGTAAAGTTTTATCCTGTCCAGTACTACAGTCAAAATTTCACATAACATTTCATTGCATATAAGATAATAACCATCACTGCAAGTTAACCAATCGAATTTTCACCCCTTTTTTTTATCTGTTTACAAGCTTTAGTAACCATGTCAACTCAAGTTTCAAAATATTTTATAGAAACACCAAATAAAAATAACAATGGTGCTTTGAATCACACAAGGTATATGCTTTTGACTCGGAAATTTTTTTCTGCAATGAAATGCAGTGTTAATTTCCTGCAACTGTCAAATTCAAGGGAATAGTTTTTTCAACCCTTTTTAATAAGAAACTGGATGTGACGTACCATGTTTTGGTTGTATTACACCTAAAACACTGTCTTTTATTTCAAATTCATTATATATCCATGGTTTTTATGATTTAAATTTTCTGTATGCACAACACATTTTTCTGGAATACGGTAATAAGGTACATTGAACTGTAAATAAGCAACCTAATGTTAGTCCTTAGAATATAAGGGGCAATGATTTCACAATAACTGTTTGTTACAGTATAACTATAAAAGAGAGGCAAAAGATATCAAAGGGATATTCAAACTCATAAGTTGAAAATAAACAGACAACGCCATGCCAAAAAAGGAAAAAGACCAAAAGACAAACAACAGTACACAAAACACAACATAGAAAACTAAAGACTGAGCAACACGAACCCCACCAAACTTTAATCAAACAGTCCTATTTACCATGATTAAATTATTTGAATTTTTAAATTACCATGAGAAATTCAAACAAGAGGCTCCCAAGAACTTTTCATAAAATAGGGAAAAGTGAAAAAAAAATGGTAAAATTCGTCATTTAAGTGCAATACTTCCATTAAATTTGGCCCTGCAGTTTCAGAGGAGAAGAATTTTTGTGAAAGTTTCGGGACAGTTATGACCATGACAGCTACCAAGTGAAGAGAAAAGGTTTGGGATTTCTGTGACCTAATCACCAACTCTATGATATAAACTATGGAAAAGTTTTAGTTATACAATGAATGATATGGGGAGGCCAAATAGTCTTCATAGAAATGAGATGTGATAATGCTAATACAACTTCATGCCAAATACCATTGACTTATTAGTGGTTCTCCTTAAATTGACCTCATTTTCAAATTCATACTTAATACAAACTTTAACAAGAGTGCACACGCTGAAATGTCTTGCCTTCTTTACTAATCATTGATATTATGTTGATAGTCCTAAATATAAATCTTTATTACAAATGTCACATAAACTTAACATCAACCAAGAAAACTAAACATTGACCAATGAACCATGAAAATGAGGTCAAGGTCAGATGAACCATGCCAGGCAGACATGTACAGTTAACAATTCTTCCATATAACAAATATAGTTGACCTATTGCTTATAGTTTAAGAAAAACAGACCAAACCACAAAAACTTAACACTGAGCAATGAACCGTGAAATGAGGTCAAGGTCATATAAAGCCTGCACGACTGACATATAGATCATAAAATATTTCCATACACCAAATATAGTTGACCTATTGCAAATAGTATTAGAAAAAAAGACCAAAACTCAAAAACTTAACTTTGACAACTGAACCATGAAAACGAGGTCAAGGTCAGATGACACCTGCCAGCTAGACATGTACACCTTACAATCATTCCATACACCAAATATAGTAGACCTATTGCATACAGTATAAGAAAAACAGACCAAAACACAAAAACTTAACTATAACCACTGAACCATGAAAATGAGGTCAAGGTCAGATGACACCTGCCAGTTGGACATGTACACCTTACAGTCCTTCCATACACCGAATATACTAGGCCTATTGCTTATAGTATCTGAGATATGGACTTGACCACCAAAACTTAACCTTGTTCACTGATCCATGAAATGAGGTCGAGGTCAAGTGAAAACTGTCTGACGGGCATGAGGACCTTGCAAGGTACGCACATACCAAATATAGTTATCCTACTACTTATAATAAGAGAGAATTTAACATTACAAAAAATCTTAACTTTTTTTTCAAGTAGTCACTGAACCATGAAAATGAGGTCAAGGACATTGGACATGTGACTGACGGAAACTTCGTAACATGAGGCATCCATATACAAAGTATGAAGCATCCAGGTCTTCCACCTTCTAAAATATAAAGCTTTTAAGAAGTTAGCGAAATGCAAATCAATGATATCACTGATGACATATGGCAGAATTCAGTGGTTGTTGTTGGTTTAGGTCTCATATTTGTTTTTAGTTTATTGTTTATCATAAATCAGGCCGTTGTTTTTTTCTTGTTTGAAATGTTTCACATTTTGTCATGTCAAAGCCTTTTCATAGCTGACTATCCGGTATATGTTTTGCTCATTGTTGAAGTCCTTACGGTGACCTATAGTTAAACACATCTCGGTTATTTGGACTCTAGTGGAAAGTTGTCTCATCAGCAATCATACCACATCTGCCTATTTTTATATAGAAAATTTAAAACCAATAAAGATTTTCAACATTTATGAATTATAAATCACTCTTTCATAATCTCACTCAGAACTACTGCCACAATATTTCAACATTTAAAACTTTTATATACAATAGATATTAAGAAAATTGGAGCTGGCTAGAATGATCAGCGACCAGTTCAGTTCTGTCACATTATGTATATCACATCATTATATTGCACAAGTTTTGTTACAGGTTTCATCAAGTCCTCTGTATCTGTATCTGAAATTTACCTGAAAGGGAAAAAAAAAAACTATGATATAAAAATTATGTAAGAGATTATTTTTAAGTATGACCTATTCAAACAGTCAAGATTTTACATAATTTGGCCATTTTACTGAAATTAGTGTCATTTTATGGCTGTCTTATCAATCTAAAGGATATATTTAAACTTCTCCGTTGATTGTGCGGGATGAAAATTTCTTAGGCGGCTGCGGGTGTCTGCAGATTGTGCGAGAGAAAAACAAATTTTCTCCGCTGATTGTGCGGGATGAAATAAAATTGTAAACATTCATTAAACACATAGCTTTTACTCTTGATTCTGAAGGTAGTCCGACATAAATTTGAAACAAGCATCAATTTGTCGCCAAATCATACATTCTTCTTTAGCAGAAACTGCCCAACAACATCTGTTTACATTCAATATGTACATGTAAATATTACAGTGATGTCTTAGTTTCTAGATATTCATCAGTTACCTTAAAGCCCTTTTCCATGTTCCTATCACTTTTACAAAGTTTAAAAATATTTACACTAAAAGTCTATGACAAAAGGTATTTAAGTACAATGTCAATAAATAATGTTCATTTGATAAATTTATATTCACATTCAATGTTCTAGACATATACATACATGCAGGCATAGCTGTGACCTCAGCTGTCACAATACTGTTTATACCAAGATTAGCTAAAGCTCCTCTCATTAATCCACATGGCAATGCAAGAAGCTGAAATACAAAATCAACATTTTAACAAATGACATACAATTCCCATCAATTTCAGGATAGACTGGATTAGCTTAAAATGTTAAAAGATAAGCTAGAACCCCCATCTCACCCTCACCCCATACCATATCCATCATTTACTATTGTTTTCCATTCAAATTAATTCTATGTGTTGTAAGCAAGTATAGTTCCTCTATACTTTGTATTTAATATACAACCAAGGATCTCACTATACAAATCCTTGATACAACATATAAAAATATTGTTCGTGGTGAGCTAAATAGGTTGGAAAAAATCAACTCTCAGAAATGTAAAGAAAGAAATTAACAGCTCAATTTTTAAATTTCTTAAAATTACAGCCCTGTATCTTCAGATTTTTAAGGCAGAACCTAAAAGTGAGGATGGTGCTAAATATTTCAGAGGAGGTAGAAAAAGCATCAAGGATAAAGCAAAGAAATTCAAGGATAGATAATCTCCACTCTGCAACAAGCTATGGTGATTCCTGCATCTAATAATTTTTAATAATTCAATTTTAATTGAAATTTCACTGAAATAGCAAATAATTTAAAAAGAGATACTTGTAATTAGAAAATCTCCCAATATACAACTATATGAATAAAATACTGACTTTATAAATTAAAACGTTTTCAACTTTTTGAGACAGAATGCCTTTAATGGGTATCAGAGGAAGTTATCGTCTTACTGAACTGGGGAAAAATTCTTAATACTAAATGGAAATTTTTTGTAAAATCATACTAATAAAATCACTGAACCAAAACTACATATAAATTATTCTGAACTAGCCATTTGAACAGTTTTTCATTTTAAAAATTGCTGATTTAAACTTTTTTTTCACTGACTTTTAAGACATGGTACTTTTTATGGTGATAATTTGTAAAGACATCTAAGTAAGGAGATTTGATACCATATTTTGAAGCTCATTAAAGAATGTCTGATTGCCTACATTTGTTAACCCTACTACTATTATTTGAATGAACTCTTTTAAAAAATATGGTATCACAAATGCATTTACCTTTGTTAGTGACCTAACTGAATTTTAATAATAAAGATTGAATTTCAATTTCTTTACAATTACCGTTAAAGGTAAACAAATGATGTCTGATGGCCTATATTTCAATGAATTCTTTTAAAAAATATGATATCAGAATTCCTTTGTTCAACACTCTACAAAAAATATAACATTATTCTAATACCACCACTTCAGGTTTGAAGGCTATATTCAAATCACCTAGACCAACCTTCCATCTGTTAGATTAACAAATATTTTCCTCACACTTTTCTCTGGAACTTCTAAACAGAATGACTTCAAATTTGGTCAGCAGCTTGACAGTGATGACTTGTAATGTGTGACCTCTTTTGGGATCTCTCATACACCTCCTTTCTGTTTACAAACTTTACAGACACTTAGATATCATCAATCATGTGAACTTAAAATATTTCTTCTCACACACCAAATCTTCTTTAACTACTAGTCTGAAGACCAGTCCGAAGACATTTTTCTTTCGTGTCTTAATAAAGTTTTGCAAATACTTACTAACCTGAATAAGATTTTTCTAGTTTGGGACATCAGGCTTGGGGCTAACAGTGCAGACTGCGAACATTTTTTGAATACTACAGAATAGAATGGCTTCATATTTGGTCAGCAGCTCAACAATGATGAGAAGTTAAGTGTGTGTTCTTTTTGGATCTGCCTACTTCCTGTTTTCAGATACATTTTTTTTGTACTTTATATTATGAATTTGGATATGCTTAGCATGACAACCTGTGCTTTTTTGTTTCTCACAAAAATTTAGCCTCATCAACCAACTATAAAATTGGGATCAACTCATCCTTTGAACATAAATTTAATTTTTGATAACATCTTCATGTAATTTCCACTAGAGGACTTTCTTATTGACATCACATTGACTACCCATAAAGGTATAAACTTCCATGTACATGCATTCATAGGAGCAACATGAAATTGACTAAGATTAGAAGTCCCTATGAATGGGTAAAACATTCTTATTTTATAGTCAGACAGACTAATAAAATATAATATAATTGATTCTTCATGGCCAAAGAGAGGACTACTTACTGTACATGTTTGTACCGGTAATACTATTATCCCATTTTCTGGAATTCATTAAATATTGGTGCCATTATTCTATTTTTTTTCAACTTTTATTTCTCTGTATTTATTTCATTATGGCCAATAGATATTAAACAAACAATTATGGCACTGAGGACCATATGAAAGTTTATGAACCAAATGGTCCATAAATTGTAATTTTGTCAACTGTGTTAATGAACTATTTGCAATATAATGTATGTATCATTCTTGTTTTTTAAGCAACCATTCAATCACTTAGATACTTCAATGCATTTAGTATGAATGTTTTAGGTTATATAGAGAATAGAGTTTTAGTATCTGATGATTTTCAGCCATTCTTCTGAATAAAAATTTTGATTTTGAAATATTTAAAAAAAAAACGTTCTTCGCTTTATATTCATACTATTACAAAAAAAATCATTAGCATGCTTTGCTGGTCAATACATGTATATCACATTCATGGCCATAGGTGAACAAAAAGTTTAAATATTCAACAAATACAAACTCCCTATAGGCTTGAATACAGAATGTTTATAGCACAAAGACAAATATCAGTGAAAATACATTTTTTTCTCAATCTATGAAAATCGGTATCAACAGAAATAAATAAGTTCACATTACAAATGCCTGATATTTATTAGAAAAATAGGAGTAATGCAAGAACTTAGCATTTTCTAATAATTACTTTATGAGGCCTAATGCAAGAACAGCATTCTCTAATAAGAACTTTATGAGGCATAATGTAAGAACTTGGCATTCTCTTATAAACACTTTATGAGGCCTAATGCAAGAACTTGGCATTCTCTAATAAGCACTTTATGAGGCCTAATGCAAGAACTTGGCATTCTCTAATAAGCACTTTATGAGGCCTAATGCAAAAACTTGACATTCTGTAATAAGCACTTTATCAATGGAACATATTTCATAGCAAAGATAAAAGTAATGTTCACAAATGGAAACAATTTTAAACTTAGTGTTCCTGTAAAAGTGACAAGTTGTTATGACATCCGCTGAGGCAATTTCCTTTAATGTATCATTATAGATACATATGTACAAGGAAACAATCAACTAAATTAGTTTTTAATTGATGGCAATATGCATTAGGACATTACATTTGTTAAAAATGGAATGAAATTATAAACATTCATGCACTTAATAAGAAGATTTGATTTAAAAGTACATGTTTACCATAATTTCATTGCAAATCAGCTGTATGTCACAAACATAGAAAAGTTGAACTATAACTGTGACTAAACTCACACTAGGATATCCCTGCCCTGCAATACTATTATATATTAAAGAAAGTAAATTCCATTATCTTCCCTTTAACATGGTGAACTGGGATTATATTCCTGTATGCAAATTCTGTTTAGGTTTATATAACTGTGTAAAGTGTCATCAATATATATCCAACCGCTTGTGCTTACAAGGCACATGTACAGATTGAGATGGATTATGGACAAATGGACAGGATGATTCCTATATACCTTCCCTAAAAACAACTATGTCTGGGGAGAGTATAAAGATACCAATGATAACTGAATATCTATGTAAAATATCCCAATATGAATAAAAGGTAACATGCGGTACAAATCAATCAGACACAATACAAAACAACACAAAAGACTAAATCATATCTATAGCTGGTCAACAAATTGTCTTTTAGAACAGATAGTTTAGTAATGTGTGTACCCTCGGTACTATATTTCAAATTTCAAAGTACCCTGTAAAGTTATGAATTATCTGAAGAAAGACATTCTTTCAACATTTATCCTGTTGTTGAAGAAGTCCTGATATACCAGTAGTAATTTTGTATACCCAGGTAACAGTTAGAACTGTGAGTGAGCTCAGAAAAGGATACTACCTGATCTGCAATACTATTTGTATAAGAGTGAGCAAATTCAAGGATTTCCCCTTTAATATGATGGACTAGGACTATCTTCCTTTAAGTACATCATCAGGTAGTGATCTACATCTGTGTAGGAAAGTTTCATCAATATCTGTCTAGCTGTTGAGGAACTGGGCTTATAAGACACAACAATACTACTAGTATATTTTAGTAAGTAACTTCGATTATCTCCCCTCTAACACGATGGAATGGGATTATGTTCCTCTCTGCTCATCCTCAGATAGTGTTCTACAACTGGGGAAAGTTTGATAAATATCCTCAAAAGATCTGTTTATCCTGGTAGTAGTAGTGTAATTTGTGACACCACACCACACCCTGTTCCATAATGCCCTAATGTCGTTTCGGCAGCATGTACTATAAAAATTGCCCTGTGTGTGATAGATTTCCTATCAGAAAGTTCATTTGTATCCCATGTTACCCAGTGGTCCTATTAGCACAAAATAGAAGGGCATTGAGCCCTTCAGCCCTGACACCCTGTACCAACATGCCTTTGTGTCGTTTCGCGAACATGTACTATAAAAATTGCCCTTTGTGTGATTGCTTCCTATCAGAAAGTTGAATCATGTTCATGACACCTTATAAATTATAGCAATAAGTTATAGTCCAAGGGAAATTATTAAAACCTATTAAATGTAAAATATATGAAAAATTAAGAAATATGTTTTTATGACAGATTTTTATAGAATTTATGTAATAATCATGGCAATACTACAACATTTACCTGAATCCATGTAATATATAATTATTCTAGTTATAGGAAGATTAAAAAGATGTGCTGGATCAGAAAAATATTGAGTATTCTTCGTAAAGGGTCTCTAAATTATTCTTTGAAAGTTTGAAAACTGCCAAATTAGAATCAATTATTGACCGTGACAGCTACACTCTCAAGCTAGAAAAAAGAGTATTTCTTACAAATGACATTTAAGGAATGATTCCTGTTCAGTTTGACAGGATACTTAAGAAGACATTAAGTCAAAGTCATATGAAAGGAGTTTCTGGTGAGCATAATTTTAAGGAGATTATTGAACCATGGTATGCACTATGCATATATATTAAACTAAGTTCTCTGTGCACATTTCTTACGAATACATAAGTTAAATCGACAAAGATTATTTTATTCAATGATTTTTGATAGAAAAAAATGGCTGCGGCTTTAAGGGTTTGGTATCGAAGTTTACAGATCCTGACCTTGAGAAACAATCAACACAGAATCAACTTTGTCATAACAGTTGTTAAATGATTTGGTGTATTTAAATTTTTCTTTCAGAATCAGTTAATACTTTCTTCTTTCTACATTTGTTTATTTTTTTTAAAATCACAGGTTTTCCCTGACAGCTTGCACTGTGCGATTTTTGAATTTCTAACAAAAGGGGTCCTTGTTAGGTCACTGCATACGAAAAAGATGTTGGTGAAGAGTATGGGAAAACAATTATTCAATGCAATACATTTCAGATGATTTTGATACAATAAACAATTTTCTTTTGAGACAGTCTTTGTACACATGTTTTATGATAAAACTTAGCCATTCAATGCAAGTAAATACAACATATTCATTTTTGTAGTTAAATTTGAAAGATCATAATTATGACTTTAACAAACAGTGAACATCAATTGAAGATAATAGAATGTCCTTAAAAATTGAATTTTGATGTTGTACTGGTCCTACATCACAAATGATCGGTATTTCTAGCTGCCTGGCAAGGAAAAAATTATAAAATCTTTGAAATTTAGATGATGACTTATAAATTATCTCCCCTTACCAAATGGCTTATTTTGCATTGTATATGTATAAGATTTATTATTCAAGTCATGAAAATGAGCAAGAATAAACATTGATTTTGTGCATAGAGGAAAAGAAGAAATACAGTGTATAAAATCATGGCACTAAATCCTTATTTAGTCTTGACAAAACCCAAAACAAAGGAACAGTGCTTTTATTGCTGTTCTTCATAAAAAATCATGATAACTTATTTACTGTTTCTGAATAAGGCGAAGAACCTTCAGGGAAAATTTCCAATTTCTAGAAAATATTGGGAGGGTCCCAACATCTGTAGAGAGATTTGACATGATTGAAGAAAACATGTCTTATAGGGAATTTTCAATATTATATAAATTAGGAGGGGTTAACAGGTATGCTATCTTTGTACTTTATGTAATCTTCAACTTACTTTTGGTGCATAATCCATATATTGTTTACCATTGGATAGTTGTGTTAAAAATCGAAATTTATTATCTTGTAAAACGTAAACACCCTGCAATGAAAATAAGTAACATTGAATGATGAATGTTATATTATTAAATTGAGTGTAATACACTTCTCCACAAAACAGTTCAATTTATAAATCTTTAAAAAAAACATGTGGCTTGCAGAGAGTCTATTAAAATTTTACTGTCAATACTGGGGATCTGTCATATCCTACAAGATATAGCATGGGAAATCAGTTACTCTAATGACAAACATAGCAAGGACAAGTTTTCAAATTCTTTTCAACTATCTGCAAAAAATTATGTTTTTTTTTGTTAGACATGGTTAGGTATTGTTGCCTTATTTAGTGATGGCAATATAGCAAACTCAAAAACACAGATGATTATTTGACATTATCTTTAGATCGTGACAAAACAAATGAAGAACTTAGATCCAGTGAACCAAATGTTACTTATCCAATACATGTAGTAAGAAAGTTTAAATTAGAGTTAGAAAAACTGCATTATATAACAATTAATCTTCTTACAGGTAAAGCAAAACAATGCATAAAGATTGAATTTATAATACAGTGATGAATTTTTTTTACAACATATTCTTTTTATTTGTTATCATAAAAAGTCTTTTCCGTCAACCAATAAAGAAACAACATTAAATAGAGACTTGAATTTTCTTTAACAATTCCCAAGTCGTTCTCACCTGATGATTTGTTCTAAGGTTATCAATTTGTTTTTTATACACAAAATTCCATAGATCTTTACATATAAACTTCATTGTATCTAATTCATCTTTAAATCTGGTACCATCTTTTGTAAATCTACAAAAAATATAAAAAATAAACTTTTGTAGCATTTCTCAGTTATTTGAATGTATAAATCAATGAACAAGCTCATGATACAGATTTTTCCAAACCACATATAAATACAACCAATTGAAACATATTTCAAAATATCACTCAGGTTACTTAACTAATTTAGAGAAAAAATAAATTTGAATGATCAACCAAACAGTGTCAAAAAGAGGCATATAATGTATGTTATTCTTTCTAACTGTTTCGTGTGATTGTTGTCTCATGTGCTTACACATTTTGAAGTCTTTTTCCTCAAATGACCTACAGCTCTAAGCATGTTAACTTTGAAAAATTACATTGATAGCCAACAATGGAACTTGCTTCCCACTTAAAACATCTAGTGAAATCATTTATTCAACCTCATCTGAGGAAAGGATTTCTGTCATCAATAAGTCAGCTCCTTATACTAAATACTAAATACACATTTTACTGTTCTTTTAGCCACTATTTATGATTAGGAATGGTTGAAACTTTTTGTTTAAACATACCCATCTAAAGTAAATTTAAATTTGCAAAATTTATCCCTCTTCAGAACATGTGCTGTATATATTCATGATGGTAAATTCAATTATCAATTCTACCAACCAACTATAATTTCACATTAAAGATGAAAAATAGCTGTTTAAAAAAATTTCAACACTTAGTTGCGATGGGGTCAGGGTTTGGGCAATTTTTGAAGAAAAAAAATAATCAGTTATAGAATTTGCTATAAAATGTCCATAAAAAATTCTGCACAAAGGGAACTAATTCTTGCTAAACTTAAATTGTAAGACACACTTAACAATGCTTAACTACCTTTCAACAAGGCTTTGTCCTATTCTGTAACCAATTGATTCTAACTTTGATAAACAGTTATCCTGAAAATAAAATATAAAACTATGTTATTATACTTTTAAAAAGATCATCTATTGATAACTTAACCATAACTTATGCAAGTTATTTTCAGACAAATTTTTTTAACAAAGCATTCAATCTCTTTTTTCCGTTGCAGTCATCTTGTTGGTTGATACTGGCTTATTGCACTAACAGATTCTCTGATTTTATGCTTTTTATATAAAATGAGCCTCCTGACCTCATGTGGTTTTTGATTATGTGATTACTTAGCCGTTTTTATAGTGATTATTTGAGTACCAGAACCAAATATTTCATGATTATTTGATTACCAGACCAAATATTTCATGATTATTTGATAATTTAGGACTGTATTTTTGATTATTTGATTATCTTGTTTAAAAAAATAATTAATGATTATGTAATTATATTGGCAAAAAATTTGTGATTATGTGATTACTTGGACACCCCATGAGGGGCCTCTAAAATATATTATGCAAAACCAACAGGTTTATTAGAAACTATACAAATAAAATTGAGAATGGAAATGGGGAATGTGTCAAAGAGACAACAACCCGACCATAGAGCAGACAACAGCCGAAGGCCACCAATGGGTCTTCAACGCAGCGAGAAACTCCCGCACCCGGAGGCATCCTTTCGCTGGCCCCTAAACAAACATGTATACTAGTTCAGTGATAATGGACGTCATACTAAACTCCAAATTATACACAAGAAACTAAAATTAAAAATGATACAAGACTAACAAAGGCCAGAGGCTCCTGAATTGGGACAGTAAAGTATAGTCCATAGAAAAAGACCAAACAGAATGTTTTATTAAAATCTTACTGGCATTGGTGGAAGTTAAACCACACAAAGAAATAAGATTTTAGTTTGAAAGAATGAAACAGAAAAGAATTTTTTATAAAATTCTCTAAATAAGTTAACAAACTTTGGTAAGAAACAACATTATTCTAGTAATGATTTAAGAAAAAAGTTTTGCTGCTCTCTTGTAAGTGATGGGACTCTGATCCATGGAAAAGAAAACAGACAATTATTGGCAGCTGTGACATCTAGTCAGGGTTTGAGTTGCAAGGTCAGAATGGTATGATGACTTGAGGTAGGAGAAATTTGACCAGATTGCTTCCCTTCATACTTGATACTTAGCCAGTAGTGTTGTATTTGGTTGAGCTAGGGAAGTACTTCTTTGGCTTTTGGCTAAAGCACTTACTTGGAACACCAAAAAAAAAATTGACACTCAGGGATTTTCCATTTTTTTACTTTGATGTAAATTCTGCATGTAGTTAGCATGTACATGATGTATTTAGCTTGGTATATATGAGTAAAAACAATGAAGATTCAAAATGTTATTTATTAAGTTTAATAGCGGTTTGGTATCATAACAATAAAGATAATATTCAACACAAAAAACCTTTTTAGAAAGTCACTTTATTTTGAAACAATGAAAAAAAATATTTATAGCAATACACTAACCAAAACACGATTATAAAAATATTCAACACAAAAAAACATCACTTTATTTTGAAACAATGGAAAAAAAACTTATATAGCAATTCAATAACCAAAACATGATTAAAATATTATTCAACACAAAAATCCTTTTTTTAGAAAATCACTTCATTTTGAAACAATGAACAAAAAAAATATTTAATTTATAGCAATACACTAACCAAATAACGATTGAAAAAGTATTTAACACAAAACCAATAAAAAGGGTGTGAACGTGTAGCATGTGAACGTGAAAGGGGTCAAACGTGAATGGGAGCTAACATGTTTTTGGGGGAACGGACCCAGATTCCTCTTGCCAGTCTTGGTCGATGAATAATTCTAATTCTACATGTTCTAATGGTTAATATTTAAAAAAGTCTAAATTCATCACTAGAACTGCCAATCCATTCATATTAAGAAACAATAAAAATTTTTTGCAAAAATAATAGTCTAATTCATCTCTAGAACTGGTACATTTTCTACATAACATCTTCCCAAAGATGACCAAGCTTAAGTTGTATTTTGAAGTTATCAACTGTCTATCAACGGGATGGTGATGTTTAATAGGATATATTGATATAATTCGGGAGCAGGTGTCTGTGCTCAACAACAAAGCATATTTACTTGATCTGGTTTCTCGCTTGATCGGTAAATATAATTGACAATTTCCATATGAAGATATTCTAGTATCACTTCGTCTGCCATCTCTGTTTTCTATAAGAAAGTGTTCATCTGCAATAAAAAATCAGAATTTTGTAGTTACTATAATTAAAGTTCCTATAATCGTTTAATCTTGTAGAATTTGATTGATTGATTGAATAAATATAAAATTAGTTATTGCTTGCAGTTTTAGGTTAATATTAATACAATTATTTTTTGACGAGTCTTTAAATTTTCCGTATATTTATACATCTCTTAACCGAAAAGTATCTTTCATTTACCTTCCATTTTCTAAAATACTGGTTTCCTGTATCGATTAGTTTTGTTTCCTTGGTTAAGAAACGAGAACAAGTGTGTAGGAAACCAGACTGGAAATGCGATGGCGTCAATCGAAAGTGGCGTGTTAGCCTTGCAAAGTGAACTTGAAAAGGCAAAGGAAAACCTTAAAGATGTGGACGAAAATATTAAAAAATTAACAGGACGTGATCCATATGAACAAAGGTCTAAATAAGAAATATATAACTTGTTATGGCCTATCGTACATGACCAATAATTCTAATATCAGATCAGACTCGCTTTACAACCATTTTGAAGGGCATCATTTTGTGGCCTTCTTTTACTTCAGGGGTCCCTGTAATTTACAGAAATTGTTCAATTATTGTTAGGGTCAGGGCAAGAGTGAAAAGAATACACCCCAAGTCTTCATTTCGTAAGCATGATGTTAAATCATAAATGAATGGACTTCCCTGATATTTTACGATGCAGGGATATATTGGCCATACCTAGAATAGATGTATCGGCCATGGGACAACATCGTCAGTACTCTGTGAAAACGCTTCGACCATGGGTTTTTTCGGAAATTAATTTCATTGATAAACATGATAAAGTATTGTGATATATACATGTACATCCTCAATCCTCAATCTTAAGGCCTGTTGGCATGAATTTTCCCAATGTGCAGGTTTTCTCTTTGGTGCGTTTTTCTCGGCGTATTTTCTTCTCTGTGCTTTAATTTAGTATGCGCTGGTTAAGATTGGGATTGAGGAACAGCAGTATCAAATCTGCCTGTTCTGTCAATGTAATGTGCCACTGTTTGTAGTTTGGCTTTTGTCTCTTCGGTGTTCTCGCCGTCTAGTCTCGTTAGCATAGTAGCTAAATTCAGGTTTCTGATCCCGACCTCTTTGGATATTTGTTGTAACATATCTGCTCGTTCGTTCTCATAGCAGGGACACTCCAGATGGAAATGGTGAGGTGTTTCAGGTGCTCCACAGTTGCATGATTCTATGCCGTTGGTTTGGCCTACTCGGTTCTTGTAGTAGTTGAGTTCTGTATAGCCAGTTCTTAGTTGGGCGAATATACTGAAATGTCTTTTAGTGGGAAAATCATACATAATTGAGTGTTTCGTAGTTGGTATTTTTTCGTAAAGGTCCCTGCCTCTCTCAGATATTTCCCATCTTCTCTGCCATTTTTCTCCTGTACTTTTATAGGCTGCCTGTTTGACGTCCTGTAGTGTTATGACGTTATTTTCCGGTGGTAGTTCTTTTGCTTCCTGTGCTGCTGTTTTTGCAAGGATGTCAGCCTCGTCATTGCCAGCTATATTGGCATGCCCTGGTGTCCATGATATGATTACATTTAGTCCTTTTTGCCTAAGATGCTCAATGTTTTCTTTTATTTCTCTTATTACGGAGATGTAGCTATTTGGGGCCCAGTTCAGTGTTAGTAATCCCACGGCGCTTTGACTGTCAGAGAAAATTTTGATTTTTTGTATTGTGTTGTACATATTTTCTGTAATGCAGTATTCAAGGACCATGAGAATACATGATATACATGTAGATGGTTATTATAACTTGAAAATGTATTATGCTGTATTTACATTATTTGTCATGTTTTTATATGTTATACACTTGGAATACGCATTATATATATTATATTAAAATATGCTTTATCTAATAAAATATTTATATTATTTTCTAAATGGATTTTTAATATATTGCGTAAAACAAACTGAAAAAATAAAACAAATTAAAATGAATATCCAAAATGGGAGATCAATAACATTTATGTCATAGTTAAAACAATAAGTTTATTTTTAAATTATAAACTAAGTAATCAGATAATGATTAATTTAAAAATTTAAAAGATTGTTAATTGTTTCTTATCATTTTGTCAAGAAATTGTAAAGGAAATACAAAACGAGATTGCTATAGAAACAGAGCACCCAAGCTGAGTTCAAGCGGATACAAACATACATTTGGTGTAGCATATATCATCAATTAAAGGTCTTAAAAAAATTATATTAATTTGAATGTTATAATATTAAAATGTTCTGTTTTTATTTAGTTTTGTGCTAATTAGTGTGTTTATTTTAGTTTCTACTCTTTGTTAAAGAGCTGTAAATCACTTTTCAAAGTCATAGTAGGGATGAACAATCAAACACATTACCATAAAACCATCTTCTATGAGTCAACTTGTCTTCAGCAGATGTTCAGAAGTAAAAATAAATATATTGTCTAGATAATTACTGACTCTTTCAAATCGGCAAACTTGTACATAATAAATACTACAAAATCATATTTATGTTATAACTATATGAAAAAATAGTTGTTGTATTATTATATTTTATGTTATAACCACAATGGAATAATTATTTAAAGTATGGACGATGTGGCGGTATGGCCGACACATCCTATAGACGTCGTGGAAGTGTGGCCATCGACGGTGTGGTTACTTGCTGTGTTTTTTTATGCCTTGTCCTGTTTTTAAAGCAATTGCTTTCATACTGTGGCATATAGCCATCTTTGTTACCCGGATCAGGCAAAAGTTTTTTGAGGAGTTTTTTGGTCTGTCATTTTAAAAATCCTTTGTATGTTTTCTAATGAATTACATTAATTGAAACAAGTGAAAAATATAAGTGGGTTTGTGAAGTTTCAACATATGTTCTTGTAGATGTATTTTTATACGACGGTATGACGTTGGCGGCGTCGTCGTCCGAAGACACATTGGTTTTCGCACAATAACTTTAGTTTAAGTGAATGGATCTCTATGAAATTTTATCATAAGGTTCAACACTACAAAAGGAAGGTTGGGATTGATTTTGGGGGTAATGGTACCAACAGTTGAGGAATAAGGGGCCAAAAATAAGCATTTTTCTAGTTTCCAGACAATAACTTGTGGAATGGTGTATGGATCTCTCTGAAATTATACCAAAAGTTTCCATACCACAAAGTGATGGTTAGGATTTGCTTTGGGGGGTTATGGCTCAAACTGTTAAGGAATTAGGGGCAAAAAAGGGGGAAAACAAGGGTGTCCTGATTAATGGACAAATACTTTAGTACAAAACATAATTTAAAGCAGTGTAAGGGATGTAATTCAAATACATCATTAGAATTACCTCCCTTACACTGCTTTTGAATTATGTATAAAGTAATGGTTAATGAATAATTAAGTCAATTTAAAAGCAGTGTAAGGGAGGTAATCCAAATACAATGTTTTGATTACCTCCATTACACTGCTTTTAAATTATGTTTAAAGAAATGCATATTTATAAAGGTAGACCAGTAAAAATATCTGCAAATGTTGCATCTTTTTTTTTTTTACAAAAAAATCCATATGTATGAAAGATTTGACACCATATTTTAAATTCTATTATAAAATAGATTAAGTTAGCACTATGGTAAATTTAAATGGGTGATTATAGTTGCAAACTCCATTGGAAATTTGAATTGAGATTATGACCATATCTTAAGGGGGGGGGGGGGGTAATAAGAAATTGTGGGGGTCAATTTTTCTCAATTCAGATTTCACAAATTATAAAAAGAAAAATTCTTCAAATATTATTTTTTTTGCAAAAATAAAGTGTGGGGGGGGGGGGGCATATTGTATTGCACAAAAGCATAAAAAAAAGGGGGGTAAATTATTATTTTTTTTTGTGGGGGAAGGGGGTGTTCAATTCGCAACAGCAAAGTGTATTGCACAAAAGCAAAAATTGAATATAAATTCAAATCATATAACCATTCAAAGTTCTTTGACTACAGTTATTCTGTGTCAGAAACCTTTTATGTGTCAAATATTTAATTACAATCCAAATTCAGACCTGTATCAAGCGCGAATATTGTGTTCATTTTTGCCCCAACTGTTCAGGGTTGGACCTCTGTGGTCGTATCCAGCTGCGCTCGGCAAAGCAATTTATGTATTTAAGGGGACAACCATTTGACTATCAAAGAACATAGAAGACCGAATGAAAAGGTGCATTTTTATACCTGCGATTTTGTTCTGGAGATGTTTCAACAAAACATCGAATCATGGCAGTTGTTGATTTAATATTGAAAATTTGACTGAATTATTTCTTATAAGGTTTTATGTTGTTTAATTCGTGTTTCTTTTTGGAAGAGGTCAAGTTGCTCTTGTTCATTCATAAAATTATAGTAAAATCACTACGCACGTTATAGTAATGTCATCTTATCTCGCATTATTTGTTTTTAATTAAAAGTAGCACAGTTTACACGTTCTGATTACACTTACCATGTTTTTAATAATTCCTTGAAATTACGGGCCCTGTTATTTATTAAGGGTTTCGTTAATTGCTGTTGACTCGACTTTGTAAACAAATGATATAATGACAGGGTCATATGTCATAATGACCCTCTAGGCAACTGAAAATTATGACCTGTAATTCTCTATGTTTACGTATCTAAAAATAGACATATCATAACTGACCTTGAAATATGTTGTTTATGAAAATAATTATGCGGAACAAAACGTTTTAGAAACACATTACAATAAGTTCGTTTTCCTTTTTTGTCATAATTCAGTAAGATTTATCATCTTATAGATGAAATGATCCCGTCCAAACGTAACAGACACCAAGTTAAGAGGTATTCACAAACAATTTGGAATTGTCTTGTTTCATAGATTGAAGAAAAAAGTTCATCCATTTGGATATCAAAAATGGGGATGCATGACAAATGATGAAACCGATATCCTAGTCTTTCCAGTAGACAAGTCTACTTCGTATTTGACACGGTTTTGGTTCGACGTGTTTGCAATTTTTATTTCACATGTTTTCGTGCTTGAACATGTTGAAGATCATTATTCAACATGTTTCCTGAAAGTTGATAAAAAGCAACCAGGAGCTGTTTTTTATAAGACCGCAAAAAAATTTTTGTGGTCGTATATTGGTATGACGTTGGCGTCGTCGTGTCCGGCGTCGTCCTCGTCCGGCGTCGTTGTTTTGTCCGAAGACACATTGGTTTTCGCACTCTAACTTTAGTTAAAGTGAATGGATCTCTATGAAATTTTACCACAAGGTTTAATACCACAAAAGGAAGGTTGATTTTGGGCGTTATGGTACCAACAGTTAAGGAAAAGGGGCCCAAAAGGGGCCAAAAATAAGCATTTTTGTTACTTCCAGACATAACTTGTGTGTTAGTGTATGGATCTCTCTGACATTGTACCACAAGGTTCCATATTACAAAGGGAATGCTGGGATTGATTTTGGGGGTAATTGCCTCAAAATTTTAGGAATAAGGGGCCAAAAAAGGGGCAAAAAACAACATTTTTCTTGTTTCAGGACAATAACTTGTGTGTAAGTGTATAGATCTTTATGAAATTGTACTACAAGGTTCCATATCACAAAGGGAAATCTGGGTTTGAGTTTGGGGGTAATTGCCCTAAACGTTTAGGAATTTGGGGCCAAAAAGGGGCAGAAAAACAAGCATTTTTCTAGTTTCCAGACAATTACTTGTGTTCAAGTGTATGGATCTCTCTGAAATTGTACTGCAAGGTACTATACCACAAAGGGAAGGCTGGGATTGAGTTTGGGGTGATGAATCATAAGGGGTTCAAAAAATTTGGGGGAGAGTTTTTTTTTTCCTTTTTTTTTCTGTAAAATTTTCCATTTTAATTTGGTTATTTCTGATTTATATATAAAAGCAAATAATAATGATATGGTTTGAATAGGTAAATTAAATTTTTTTAAGTTCTTACACCACATTCATTCTGTGTCAAATATTTAATCACAATCCAAATTCAGTGCTGTATCAAGCTTGAATGTTGTGTCCATACTTGCCCCAACTGTTCAGGGTTCAACCTCTGCGGTCGTATCAAGCTGTGCCCAGCGGAGCATTTTATTCTTGTTTGTGAAATTATGATTTAATTTCATGTTTGTCTGTGATACCCCCCTTTTTAGAAATTATATGACGATGGCACATTATATTGTATGTTTAAAACAGCTGAGCAATAATGTTTGGGACTAAGATTAAAGAAATAATGACAAAGTAACATATCTAAAATGTAGTTATATATTAGTGAGCTGAAATATATATTTATTTTTTACATCTTTATGTTTTGTAAGATATTTTTTTTAATTTTTTTTTCCGATAGACAGACCTGACTTTTTCTTGTGAAAAATCCGTAAACCAACAAATTAAAAAACCCTGGCTTAAGTGATGAAAGGGGTAAAACATAAGCTAGTTCCCAGGTTAACATTTAATGTGCATTTCATGAAAATTTCAGAAGCCGGTCTTCAAAATCTTTAATCAGTATGTATGAATGAATGATTCTTATCATAAAAAACTATAGTTCAGTAGAACACTGGCGTCACAAAAGTTGAAATCATCAACTGAAAGGCTAAATTTAAACCAATTATGATGTAATTAAAATTAAGATTAAAGCATTAAAGATAATGAAGCCAGGTGCATGGATTATCATGTAAATTATTGCCCAGTAATAAACACACTACAAGGGGATAATCTATTATGATTTCTTAGGGATTTATACGTTTGCGAACATAGATATGCCTCCACCGTAAGCCAGGTAAACGTGTCATCCCCCTGGGAAATGTAAAACATTGTAAAAATGACTTTCTGATGGATAAGTCTTTTATTGATATAAAGTTAAAACATCCTTACTTCTCACTAGACAAGACTCCCGTCAGGTTTAATTCTTTTACATGTGGATGAAAAATAAAAGTCACAAAAACTAGGCAGCAATTGCTTTAACAGCCTTTAAGGCTTTGATTCAGAAATTACATTCGCCGTGCCCCATTTCACAATTGTAGTTTATAATGCCATGCCATAATTTATGATAGGTACTGTGATTCTTTCAATAAGACCATTTCCAGTTATTTCCCTTTGTTTGAAATCTAAGTTTTAATGGTTATCATTTTATTGAATTAAAAACCATTTATAAAATCACTCGAAAATAATTTGTTGCACACAGACAATTGTTTCATTGAAATTAATCATCCGTTCTTATTAAAGATTACACATATTTCAAGTGCATGTGTAAATTAACAATATTGGAAAAGGCTTTGAAGGTGAATTAATGGTATAAAAGTAAATTGAATAAATTTGTTTTAAAAAACACATATTCATGGAGCTCCAACTGGATGGGAATTCACACGAAAATAGATTCAGCTACTTTTACCTGAGGCAAAATTTTATGTAAGTTTGTTAAATGTGATGTTTCTTTTTCACCATTACAGCCAATATTAGTTAAGATTCAAAAGGCCATTTAAATTGATTTTAAAAAACACCTTGAAATAAACTTGAAAAAATACCTCTCTTCAATTTTTTCTATGCACAACTTGTCATAAGTTGACTCTTTTGGTCAATAATGTTCTAATCTTGTATTGTTTTTACATTGCAGACAAGGAGGAAATAGAAGGTTGTCTCAGTCTGGGGATTCGAGGGGTCGAGGACGTCCATTCACACCTGGTGGCAGGTTAGTATTGTTATGTAAAAAAAAATCTGAATCCTTAATTGTTTTCTCAACATGCTCTACATATAAATATTAATGAATTAACATCAGTCAATTGGAAGAGGGATGAAGCAAAATAAACATCAGATGTCTTTTATTTTTATACGACCGCAAAAAATTTTGCGGTCGTATATTGGTATCACGTCGTCGTCATCGTCTTTGTCGTCCGATGACATTTGGTTTCCGGACAATAACTTTAGTTTATGTAAATAGAAATCTATGAAATTTAAACACAAGGTTTATAACCACAAAAGGAAGGTTGGGATTGATTTTGGGGGTTATGGTCCTAACAGTTTAGGAACTAGGGGCCAAAAAGGGGCCCAAATAAGCATTTTTCTAGTTTCCAGACAATAACTTGTGGAAAGGTGTATGGATCTCTTCTGAAATTAGACCACAAGTTTCCATACCACAAAGGGATAGTTAGGATTGGCTTTTGGGGGTTATGGCTCAAACCTTTAAGAATAAGGGGCAAAAATAAGGGAAAAACAAGGGTTTCCTGGTTAATGGACAATTACTTAAAAGTACAATGTTATGTTTGGATTACCTCCCTTACACTGCTTTTAAATTATGTATAAAGAAATGTTGTATTGTCTTGAGGTGATTAGCTGTCAATTTATTTTTAGCTCACCTGGCCCGAAGGGCCAAGTGAGCTTTTCTCATCACTTGGAGTCCGTTGTTGTCGTCGTCGTCCGTCGTCCTTAGCTTTTTACAAAAATCTTCTCCTCTGAAACCACTGGGCCAAATTTAACCAAACTTGGCCACAATCATCATTAGGGTATCTAGTTTAAAAAATGTGTCCGATGACCCCGCCTTCCAACCATCATGGCCGACTTGGTTAAAAATAGAACATAGGGGTAAATGCAGTTTTTATACGACCGCAAAAATATTTTGTGTTCGTATATTGGTATGACGTTGGCGTCGTCGTCGTCGTCCGAAGACACATTGGTTTTCGCACTCTAACTTTAGTTTAAGTAAATGGATCCTTTTGAAATTTGACCATAAGGTTCAATACCACAAAAGGAAGGTTGGGATTGATTTTGGGGGTTATGGTACCAACAGTTAAGGAATTAGGGGCCAAAAAGGGGCCAAAAATAAGCATTTTCTAGTTTCCAGACAATAACTGTGGAACGGTGTATGGATCTCTCTGAAATTATACTACAAGTTTCCATACCACAAAGGGATGGTTAGGATTTGCTTTTGGGGGTTATGGCTCAAACCGTTTAGGAATTAGGGGCATAAAAGGGGGAAAAACAAGGTTGTCCTGGTTAATGGACAAATACTTTAGTACAAAACATAATTTAAAGCAGTGTAAGGGAGATAAATCAAATACATCATTGAAATTATCTCCCTTACACTGCTTTTAAATTATGTATAAAGTAATGGTTAATGAACAATAAAGATAATTTAAAACAGTGTAAGGGAGGTAATCCAAATACAACGTTTTGGTTACTTCCCTTACACTGCTTTTAAATTATGTTTAAAGAAATGCATATTTATAAAGGAAGACCAGTAAAAATATCTGCAAATGTTGCATCTCTTTTTTTTTACAAAAAAATCCATATGAAAGATTTGACACTATATTTTTAATTCTATTATAAAATAGATTAAGTTAGCACTATGGTAAATTTAAATGGGTAATTATGGTTGCCAACTCCATTGGAAATTTGAATTGAGATTATGACCATATCTTGAGGGAAAGAATTTTTTAGGGGAAAAAAGGGGGGGATAAAAAGAAATTGTGGGGGGTCAATTTTTCTCCTTTCAGATTTCAGAAATTAAAAAAATTATTCTTCAAATATTATTTTTTTTTTCAAATTTCAAATATTGAAAAATTTCAAGAAGAAATCTTTAATTGCACAGTATGGCGCATTAGATTTGTAAAATCTTTGATCACCTTTATTTATTTGTTATGCCGAATCCAACAGTGTATTTAGATTTTTAATTTTGGGTCCAGTTTTCACATTGGTCTACATTAAGGTCCAAAGGGTCCAAAATTAAACTTTGTTTGATTTTAGCAAAAATTGAATATATGAGGTTCTTTGATATGCTGAATCTAAACATGTATTTAGATTTTTGATTTTTGGCCCAGTTTTCAAGTTGGTCCAAATTGGGGTCCAAAATTAAACTTTGTTTGATTTCAACAAAAATTGAATATATGGGGTTCCTTGATATGCTGAATCTAACCATGTATTTAGATTTTTTATTTGTGGACCCCTTTATCAAATTGGTTCATATTGAGGTCAAAAGGGTCCAAAATTAAACTGTTTGATTTCATCAAAAATTGAATTATTGGGGTTCTTTGATATTCCAAATCTAACCGTGTATTTAGATTTTTAATTTTGGGTCCTGTTTTTTTAATTGGTCTACATTAAGGTCCAAAGGGTCCAAAATTAAACTTAGTTTGATTTTAACAAAAATTGAATTCTTGGGGTTCTTTGATATGCTGAATCTAAACATGTGTTTAGATTTTTGATTATGGGCCCAGTTTTCAAGTTGGTCCAAGATAGGGTCCAGTATTTAAACTTTGTTTGATTTCAACAAAAATTGAATATATGGGGTTCTTTGATATGCTGAATCTAACCATGTATTTTGATTTTGGACATTGGACCATAATAGGTAAATTAAAAAAATTCAAGTTCTTAGACCACATTCTTTCTGTGTCAGAAACCTATGCTGTGTCAAATATTTAATAACAATCCAAATTCAGAGCTGTATCAAGCTTGAATGTTGTGTCCATACTTGCCCCAACTGTTCAGGGTTCGACCTCTGTGGTCGTATCAAGCTGCGCCCCAGCGAAGCATTTTATTGGTTTATATCTCTGAAACTAAAGCATTTAGAGCAAATCTGACAGGTGGCAAAAATGTTCATTAGATTTAGGTTTATCTGCCCTGAAATTTTCAGACGAATCTGACAACCCGTTGTTGGGTTGCTGCCCCTGAGTTAGTAATTTTACAAAAATTTTGCAGTTTTTTGTTATTATCTTAGATATCATTATAATATCTAATATCTAATACTATTAATTATGATTTTAACCTTATTTTACATGAGTTCCAAAGCATCAGTAAATAGAGGTGAGCGACACAGGCTCTTGAGAGCCTCTAGTTGGAAGTTACTATTAAAAATGCTGATTAAAGGGGCACTAGCTGTCAAATTCATGTTCACCGATTTGACTCAAATTCTCATATTTGATTTATAACAATGTAAAACATTTATCCAAACTATTAAAAGTTTAAAATAAACAATTTTCAGGGCATGGGCTCGATAACATGTAGCTTCGTTTCGTGTGTATTTTAGTCTAGACGCCATCTAGTTAACTATCGAGTTGACCTTAAAGTTGTCCGATGACCATATAAGCGATGTAAACATAAATATAGATATAAATAGATAAAGCGAACTCGTGCAATGGGATTTTTCTATGTCTTTTTAATTTCGTATTATAGATTAAAAATATATGTTTATCATCGTTTTTACCTGTATAAGAATGATTTTTGTGGATCGAATCAGTCAATCAGATGATTTACTTTTGTTTCACTTTCAATGTTAACATTCTTTTCCTTTAAATAACTTTACATGAACAATTCATGCGTAGCTAAGGGGTTAAATTGAAGTTCACATGAATACGGATTCAATGGGGTCGAATTATTCACTTGCAAGTGAATAATTCATCATCAATGTTTCTTAGCTTATTTTGACAAAATTGAACTATACTGGCTGCTAAAAGCGAATAATTATTTCACTATTTCACTTTCATTAATGATTGAATAAAACTATTTTAGATTTTTTATATATCTCGTAGCTAGTGCCCCTTTAAGGAATATTAATTTTACAACTTTTTTCTCATTTCAGATTTCAGAAATTAAAAAGAAAATTTCTTCAAATATTTTTTTTTTGGGGGGGGGGGGGGGGTCAATTTGCAACAGCATAGTGTATTGCACAAAAGCAAAAAAAAAGGGGGGAGTCAATTCGCAACAGCAAAGTGTATTGCACAAAAGCTAAAAATTGAATATAAATTCAAATCATATAACCAATTCTAAGTTCTTTGACTACAATTATTCTGTGTCAGAAACCTATTATGTGTCAACTATTTAATTACAATCCAAATTCCGACCTGTATCAAGCGTGAATATTGTGTCCATTTTTGCCCCAACTGTTCATGGTTGGACCTCTGCGGTCGTATCCAGCTGCGCTCGACTGAGCAATTTATTTTGTTATTGTGTTGCTGTTTCAATGATGCATAATAGACTATGGTTCATGTCTGTCATATTTGTTTTTTCAGAAATTGTTTTGTTATAAATAAGCCAGTTAGTTTTCTCAATTGTATTGTTTCATAGTTTTCATGTCGGCCTTTTATAACCGACCATATGGTATGGGTTTTTATACGCCCGTTTACTCGACATATTATAGTATAAAGTTGTCCGTCCATCCCTCCTGTCGTCAACATGTCGGACAATAAGTGAAAAACGCTTTAACCAATTTGCATGAAACTTTGGTGAATTGATTATATCTATTGACGTGAGCACCCTTTTGTTTTTTTTATAAATTTTAGATTTTACGTTTCCGAGTTATGGGGTTTTATTCATTAAAAAGGGGGGATTTTCTAGTTTTCGGACAATATCTTTTAAGTGCTTTCAGCAGTTTTCATGAAACTTTGGTGACTGGTTTATATCTATTAAGATAACCTCCCTTTAGTTTTTCATAAATTTCTGATATGACATTGAAAAGTTATTTAACTTTATTCTTGAAAAAGCGACGGGCATATCATGCGCTCATGGCACAGCTGTTTATTCTCATTGTTGAAGGCCATACAGTTGTCTATAATTGCTTACATCAACTTCATTTGAACTTTGGTGGATAGTTGTCTTATTGGCAATCATACCACATGTCTTTATTTTTATATACATTTCCTTTTACTAATATCAAAAATTGAAAGCCCATATACAGTACAAGACTTGGATAATTTATTTCGCCAAACATGTGTACAATCAAACTACCAAATACAAACTATGAAACAATAAATGTTTGGCTGTACAAACTACATTAAAAACTCAGAGCATCAGCTGCAAGGTCTAATGAAGCAAAAGCATATCTACATACCAACTTGTATTGTAGTACTTATGTTATGCATAAAAATTAAAAGTATAACAGAAATTACCAAAAATGTTTGACAGTACAACAGACTACAACCATCAATACCAAAGTATACATGTATGTCATACATCTTACTTTCTAAGTTAAGAATTGATGTGTTATGACCCATAGTTTAAGTATCACAGATATGCCACATGTAAACTAAAGTCATATATATTTTTGAATTTTTGTAGGAGATTTTCAGACAATGAAGGACAGGCAGCTCGTAGACTTGTTGGAGGAGCCTTCTCAAGGTATGAATTATGATTAAGTTATATATGTACATGGTATATTTCCTACCATCTTCGCCTTATTCTAAGTTTTGGTCATATGATGGTATGGTACTTAACCGCTACCAATGTCGATTTGATAAGTTGTCTGAATAGGGATATTTGTTTTTATACAACAGCAAAAAATTTTGCGGTTGTATATTGGTATCACGTCGTCGTCGTCTGAAGACATTTGGTTTCCGGACAATAACTTTAGTATTAGTAAATAGAAATCTATGAAATTTTAACATAAGGTTTATAACCACAAAAGGAAGGTTGGGATTGATTTTGGGGGGTTATGGTCCCAACAGTTAAGGAATTAGGGGCCAAAAAAGGTCCAAATAAGCATTTTTAACCGGATTTTTGTGTCAAAAATGTCGGTTATTGATTTGGGATGTACGGCGGGCGGGCGGCAACCAAATGTTGTCCGTGCATTTACTCATGAACCATTCAACCAAACCTTTTTAAATTTTAATATGTTGTTACTGACAACAAAATGGAGGTCAAGTTCAATAATGACGATTTTGACTTTTACCGTTCAGGAGTTACGGTTCTTGAAAGTTTAAAAAATGTTGTGTCCGTGCATTTACTCATGAACTGTTCAACCAAACCTTTTTAAATTTTAATATGTTGTTACTGACAACAAAATGGAGGTCAAGTTCAATAATGACGATTTTGACTTTTACCGTTCAGGAGTTACGGTTCTTGAAAGTTTAAAAAATGTCGTGTCCGTGCATTTACTCATGAACTGTTCAACCAAACCTTTTTAAATTTTAATATGTTGTTACTGACAACAAAATGGAGGTCAAGTTCAATAATGACGATTTTGAATTTTACCGTTCAGGAGTTACGGTTCTTGAAAGTTTAAAAAATGTCGTGTCCGTGCATTTACTCATGAACTGTTCAACCAACCTTTTTAAATTTTAATATGTTGTTACTGACAACAAAATGGAGGTCAAGTTCAATAATCATGATTTTGACTTGTTCTGCTTTTCTTTGGTAAATTGTTAGAAGAATTTTGTGACAAGTTTGTTTGTTATTTGTAAAAACTAATTTTCTGAATGCTGTATATTTCTTTTTTGATGAAATGAACTCCTTTAAAAAGTAAGCTTATATTGCCCATCAATAAACATATATTTAGATTTCTGATTTTGGGCCCACTTTTCAAATTGGTCCAAATAGGGGTCCATACTTGCTCATCTTTTCAGGATTGGACCTCTGCAGGAAAATCCGGTTTGCTGTCACTCGACAGCCTCTTGTTCTTGTTTCATGACAATAACTTGTGGAACAGTGTATGGATCTCTCTGAAATTATGCCACAAGTTTCCATACCACAAAGGGATGGTTAGGATTGGCTTTTGGGGGTTATGGCTCAAACCGTTTAGGAATTAGGGACAAAAAAGAGAGAAAAACAAGGGTGTCCTGGTTATTGGACAATTACTTAAGTACAAATTACAGTGTAAGGGAGGTAATTCAAACACAATTTTGAATTACCTCCCTTACACTGCTTTGAAATTATGTTTAAAGAATTTTTGTATTGTCTTGAGGTGATTAGCTGTCAATTCATTTTTAGAAGTTACTATTTTTATAATTTTAAAAATGCTGATTAAGGTAAATTAATTTTAGCTATGATTATGTTTGTCATTTTCTATTTTAAGACTTTTATGATGTATTTAAATAGGTTATTATGGTTGAAAACTCCATTGGAAATTTGAATTGAAATTATGACGATGACTGAGGGAAAGAATTTTTTTTGGAAAAAGGGGGGGTAAACAAATATTGGTGGTGGGGGGCGAATGGGGGGACAATTTTTTCTCAAGATTTCAGAAATCAAAAAGAAAATCCTTCAAATTTTATTTTTTTTTTTATAAAGGGGAGTGGGGAGGTCAATTCGCAACAGCATAGTGAATTGTACAAAAGCAAAAAATTGAATATAAATTCAAATCATATAACCAATTCTAAGTTCTTTGACTACAGTTATTCTGTGTCAGAAACCTATTATGTGTCAAATATTGAATTACAATCCAAATTCAGACCTATGTCAAGCGTGAATATTGTGTCTATTTTTGCCCCAACTGTTCAGGGTTGGACCTCTGTGGTCGTTTCCAGCTGCGCTCGGCGAAGCAATTTTCTAATAGTGCTTATAGTTATGAAGCACCACCAACCCTACATTTCTTTTTTTTAACACCTTCCTTTCTCCCCCAATTATTTTTTTGAGGGAAAAGCACTTATACAACACAGATAAGAGGTTTGATTGAGTTAAAAATTTTGTAAGAGTATTATATTTTAAACTGAGCCTACATTAATTTCATCTACAAAAATAAGAAATAATTTAAAAAAGAGAAGGAGCTCAAGGGTTGGATGATAAAAAAAAATAAAGTTGAAAAAGGACAGGTAGCATCATTTATATATGGTAAAAAAAGACAAGACAAACAACAGTTTACATCACATTACACATAAAACTAAAGATTGAGCAACATAAACCCCAACAAAATCTAGGGAAGAACGCTGGAAGCGAAAGTAATACCTGTCACACTTGTGACACCAGTCATGTTGCGCATGTCTTGTAAAATTCTGGATACTACAAATGAAATATGTGATTTCTGTGACACCGAAGGTCAACCAAGTATTGATTGGGCCCATAAATCTTTCAAAGAGGTTACTTCCTTATAACTTATATAAGCAGCAATGTACTATTAAGGAAATACTGTAAATTCAGAAATTATTGCGAATTTTGTAGAATGGACTAAAATACAAGATTAATTATTGCGATATCAGGGAAATCTGCATGCAGTTATATGTATCAGATATAAAAATGCGAGTTTTTATACGCCCCTTTACGGGACGTATTATGGTATACCTCTGTCGGTCCTTACGTCGTCAACATGTCGGACAATAACTCAAAAATGCTTAAACCAATTTGCATGAAACTTTGGTGAATTGTTTATATCTATTGACGTGAGCTCCCTTTAGTTTTTTATAAATTTTAGATTTTACGTTTCCGAGTAATGGGGTTTTATTCATTAAAAAAGGGGGGTTTTCCAGTTTTCGGACAATAACTCGAAAACACTTTCACCACTTTGCAAGAAACTTTGGTGAATTGTTTATAACTATTGACATTAGCTCCCTTTCGATTTTTATAAATTTTAGATTTTACGTTTTAATCATTAAAAAAAAGGGGATTTTCCAGTTTTTGAACAATGACTCAAAAATGCTTTGAGCAGTTTTCATGAAACTTTGGTGACTGGTTTATATCTATTAAGATAACCTCCCTTTAGTTTTTCATAAATTTCTGATATGACATTGAGAAGTTATTGAACTTTTGAAAAAGCGACGGGCGTATCATGCGCTCATGGCGCAGCTGTTTATTAATATTGGGATACTCATTCAGTCGCAGTATTCACATTAATAAAAACCTCGCAATAATTTCTGAATTTACAAGATCTTTTAAAATATTGTATCAACTGGGAGACAGTGTTTTCCCTAAAATTTTTTGAAGGATTGGGGATTGACTTAAAGGTTTTGAGTTTTTAAAATTATCAAGGATGGGCACCACAGTGCATAAATCCTATATGGAAAAAACTGGTCCAAGATATATACTACATACCCAGGTGCAGCTTGAATGATAATACATCAAAATGGGAAAAATGATGTCATCCCATTTGTCATAAAATTTAGTTCTTGACTTACCCTTTCAATGGACTTCTAAACTGCTTCTGAAGTATAAAGCATCAAATAATTTGCATATAGGATTAAATTATTGAAATATGATATATCATATAAATCTTTTAATGCCATGGCGGAGGGGGCATTAAGTTTTACTCTTGTCCATCTGTATGTTTGTACATCCCAAAATTAGTTTCCGTTCTCTGACTTTAGTTTGCCTCAACCAAATGTTATGAAACTTATACACAATAACCACCAAACACAGATCAAGTTAGAATTTGGTGGCGTCACTTTCGACGTTCTTGAGTTGTTCGAATTTGGGTGGCCTCATTTTCTTTTTCTCCAGTAATGTCCCCTTATAAATTGAAAAAATTGCAGAATTTGCAGTATATTTACAAGTGGATCTGTGTCCCATGGGCACATTTTTTTTTCTTTTCTCTTTTTTAAATTGTTAGATGTGTATTTTCAGCAAGTGCCACAGAATAAATTCTTTTTATGAACATATCTTTTACAAAGAGTGTTTTTTCTAGGCTTGGTATCAGTCCTAGGGCTGCTGGAAGAGGAAGAGGAAGAGGACGAGGAATAGGAAGGAGGGCTGCTGATAGTGATGAAGAAGAGGAACTTCCCAATAAAGTAAGATATTACCTACATTGAAAACAAATAAACAATTCTCGAATACTTCATTCTTAATCAAGAATCCCTTCAAATGAATTATAGAAAACTGTAAATTCAGAAATTAATGCAAAAAATGTAAAAAGAAATTACCGGTAGTGAGATTTCAACTCAAATACAAATAATGCTGTAAAAGATTTTAATCTGAATTCTACTGAATGCGATTCTTATCCTGTCACATTTTATGTAGTAATAAAAACATCAAATTTTCTGAATTCAAAGTATATTAAAAAAGATAAAGGATCATAAAGGTATTTTAAAAGATCACCAGAAAGGCAATAACTATATTTTTGATTAATTGAATTGTAGATAAAAGTAATATGTTTGCTATACTGTTTCCCTGTTTGAATTGAAATTTGATGAACAAACCATAAGAAAATTGTGTTTATAAATGCCTAACATACACAATTATAGATTCTATAACAGAGTGTCAACTGTAACATTGCTTGTGTGTGCATTACTTTCATGGCGTTAAGCCATTATCAGGCAATGGGATGAATGTATTTATTCATGTCTGTATTAAGAGTTTGTTCACTGTAACAATGTGGTTAGAAATAAAATTAATTCTTATTTTCTAATTCTCAGTGTTTCCATGTTATTTACTCTGAATGTATTTCTTAATTTAAACAATCTGATTAAAATACAGATCCTGTGTTCAAGCTTTGCTCCCAAGGATCTTACAACACTCTATTTTACTTTCTGTTCTTGTAATTATTACATCAGCCAATCAAATATCAGCCTTCAAATTTTTAAAGGTGTGTATTCATACGACAAAACCAGAGGATCATGAAAGAACCAGAAAGTAGTATAGAGCATTTTCAGATCCTTGTAAGAAAAGCTTGAACACGGATCTGTATATTAATTAGATTGTAATTTAAATGGTCTTATTTATAGCCCACTATCCAGTCTTCTGTTGTACTGACCCCTAAAGAACCCAAATCAAGACAGGCTAGTTTAGATGAGCAGAAAACAGACAAAAAAGGCACAGCAAGGTAAGTAGGTTTATTCTGGAGTAGACACTTTTGATTTTTCATCACAAACCTTATCACAATCATTCTTCAAATAACATCAGCACTCACACTACTTCAGAATCAGAGAGTTTTCTCTTTGAACCTAACAGGAAGAAGTTTTGAGACTGAAGCTGTTGATCATCCATGACACTAATCTTCATGTTTGCTACTACAATGTATATTGCTTTACCATTTGAATTTCATTAACCAGTGAATAGAAAAATTGGTGGCTTCAGCCTTTACCTATACACTGGTAACTAAAGACATGAAAAGTTGTGTTTTGTTTGCATCACTTTGAACTCATCATCCTTCTGTCAGTTCGTTCCTGTACACTTTCTATGTCTGTTGCTAGAATAAGCAATCTGCTTCAGTTTTGCACTTAGTTTTTATACGACCGCAAAAAAAATTTTGTGGTCTGATATTGGTATGACGTTGGCGTCGTCGTCGTTGTCGTCCGGCGTCATCCTGCGTCTTCCGAAGACACATGGGTTTTCGCACTCTAACTTTAGTTTAAGTGAATGGATCTCTATGAAATTTTACCACAAGGTTCAATACCACAAAAGGAAGGTTGGGATTGATTTTGGGGGTTATGGTACCAACAGTTAAGGAATTAGGGGCCAAAAATAAGCATTTTTGTAACTTCCAGACATAACTTGTGTGTTAGTGTATGGATCTCTCTGACATTGTACCACAAGGTTCCATATCACAAAAGGAATGCTGGGATTGATTTTGGGGGTAATTGCGTCAAAATTTAGGAATTAGAGGCCAAAAAAGGGGCAAAAAACAAGCATTTTTCTAGTTTCATGAATATAACTTGTGTGTAAGTGTATGGATCTTTCTGAAATTGTACTACAAGGTTCCATATCACAAAGGGAAAGCTGGAATTGAGTTTGGGGGTAATTGCCGAAACATTTAGGAATTGGGGGCCAAAAAGGGGCCAAAAATAAGCATTTTTCTAGTTTCCAGACAATAACTTGTGTTCAAGTATATGGATCTCTCTGAAATTGTACTGCAAGGTACCATACCACAAAGGGAAGGCTGGGATTGATGATGGGGGGTAATTGCCTCAATATTTTAGGAATTAGGGACCAAAAGGGGGCAAAAAACAAGCATTTTTCTAGTTTCAGGACAATAAATTGTGTGTAAGTGTATGGATCTTTCTGAAATTGTACTACAAGGTTCCATATCACAAAGGGAAAGCTGGGTTTGAGTTTGGGGGTAATTGCCCTAAACGTTTAGGAATTTGGGGCCAAAAAACACATTTTTATAGTTTCCAGACAATAACTTGTGTTCAAGTGTATGGATCTCTCTGAAATTGTACTGCAAGGTACCATACCTCAAAGGGAAGGCTGGAATTGAGTTTGGGGGTGATGAATCATAAGGGGGTTTAAAAAATTGGGGGGGGGGGGGGGGGTTTTTTTCCTTTTTTTTCTTTTTTTCCTTTTTTTTTTCTTTTAAAATTTTCCATTTTAAGTTGGTTATTTCTGATTTATATTTAAAAGCAAATAATAATGATATGGTAGGAGATACACACCAAACAGGATATGTAAATTATTATATAATAAGTATTGTGCAATAGCAAGAAATTTTCTATTGCACAATATATAGCAAGAAATCTTCAATTGCACAGTATTGCGCAATAGCAAGAAATCTTCAATTGCACAGTATTGTGCAATAGCAAGAAATATCCAATAGCACAATATTGCGCAATAGCAAGAAATGTCAATTGTACAGTATTGCGCAATAGCAAGAAATATTTAATTGCACAGTATTGTGCAAAAGAAGATACTTCGTATAAATTGCTTATTTCTTGACCAATTTCAATGGGGTTTTATTCTTGAATTCTTGGGGTTCTTTAATATGCTGAATCTAACCGTGTATTTAGTTTTTAGATTTTGAGCCCCGTTTTTAAATTGGTCCACATTGAGGTCCAAAGGGTCCAAAATTAAACTTTGTTTGATTTCATCAAAAATTGAATTATTGGGGTTCTTTGATATATCGAATCTAACTGTGTATTTAGATTCTTAATTTTTGGTTCCGTTTTCAAATTGGTCTACATTAAGGTACAAAGGGTCCAAAATTAAACTTAGTTTGATTTTAACAAAAATTGAATTCTTAGAGTTCTTTGATATGCTGAATCTAAACATGTATTTAGATTTTTGATTATGGGCCCAGTTTTCAAGTTGGTCCAAATCGGGGTCCAAAATTAAACTTTGTTTTATTTCAACAAAAATTGAATATATGGGTTTCTTTGATATGCTGAATCTAACCATGTATTTAGATTTTTGATTTTTGGGCCCCGTTATCAACTTTGTCCACATTGAGGTCAAAAGGGTCCAAAATTAAACTTTGTTTGATTTCATCCAAAATTGAATTCTTGGGGTTCTTTGATATGCTTAATCTAACCATGTATTTAGATTTTGGATATTGGACCATAATAGGTGAATGTCTAATTTAAAATTTTTAAGTTATTAGACCACATTCATTCTGTGTTAGAAACCTATGCTGTGTCAAATATTTAATCACAATCCAAATGCAAAGCTGTATCAAGCTTGAATGTTGTGTCCATACTTGCCCCAACTGTTCAGGGTTCGACCTCTGCGGTCGTATCAAGCTGTGCCCTGCGGAGCATTTTATTTAAAATGGCCAAAAGACAAAATTTTGAGAAAACAATCTTTGACATGTGACTTTGGAAGGAAATGGAAAGTTTATACTGCAGAAAATGTTTCAAAAGTAAAGGACCATTTTACAGTTAAACAAAGTAAAATTTTCATGATGGCGAAAATAAGATAAGTCTTATGTACAGTAACACTTGTACAACAATGGCAGAGATAGAATAAACAGAATGGTAGGTCTTAAGTATGTCCATTGAAAAATTATAAGTTCTGAATAGTAGACCAATGATGGAACATCATCTCTTAACAAGTATAATGTCTCATTCTTGTAATTTCTATACATCAAAATACTTATTGCACCAAAACAAAAAACCACAGAAAACTAGGGAGACTGTTGGAAATCCAGGAAGACATGGTATTGCTTTTGACAGCAAAAAAGGAAAAAGGGATTAATGCAAGACTTATTTTTCCTGATTGTCCACTACCTTAAACTGTGGTCAGATAACTGTTGTTTGAAGAGCCTGGCTAGAATTTATAAATCATATGTATCTAACACTTGATTTTATGATTTCAGAAATAGAAGAATGTTTGGGTTACTACTTGGAACTCTGCAGAAGTTTAAAGATGAAGCAAAAGAATCAAAGGATAAGGTAATGTTTGTCAGATCCTTTTTAATTAATCTCAATCTCTGTTTAATAGAGACGGAGCCAAAGCAGTCTATCTAAAAGACATCTAACAAGGAACTATTATGATACCACTGCTTAACTGTAGACCGATTTACCCCTGTCTGTTCGTCCCTTGAGATTTTTGTTGCATTTTTCTAAGGAACTACAAATCAAAGTTTCCTGAAATTAGGTAACAAGCTTGGTGTGAATATGCTTTACCCTGTGACATATTTTCATTAAGTTCCTGTTTATCAAATTTATAATTTCTTACATATAATGGTCATGTATGAAATTTTATTCACATTTTCTCACTAACTACAATCCACAGCTTACTGAAATTTGGTATTAAGCTTCGTGTGAATATGTCATACTGTGTTATGCTTTTTCAAATCCATTGTTTATCCACTTCCTCTAATCCAATACTTGCAGCTGGAATATCATTTGTGAGCTACTGTTCACAATTCCAACTTGTTTTAGCCAGTTTAATTTATAATACCTAAATAGCAAATGTTCTAATTCTTTCAATGTAAAGTGGCAGTCATGATTAAATTCAAAACATGCTAATTGGTAATTTATGATTCTTTTGCAAAAAATATACTAGTACTTTATACAATTATCTATATTAAGCCCAGCAAAGCATACATTATGTAAATGAGTAAGAATTGTATTAAATCAACTTCTGAATATAACGATTAATGAAATTGACATCATTAAAATAGATAGCTGACAGGATAGAAATAGAAATCTCCAATTTAAAAAAAAAATCCAGTTGCTTGCAAAGGGCTATATATCTACATGAAATATAAAAGCATTTTAACAACAATCAGTGTCACACTTGTACAAAAGTTTGCCTTTTAGAGGAATGAAATCTGACCTTATAAGAAATGTGAAATTTAATTCAAAGTTGGCAAATGAGCCTGTCAATTGTTATGAAAATAAAAGATACTTCAGGCAAAAGACTCTTGGATTAGTTTGACAAATGGCTGGTTTTGAAATATAAATGTGGCCATGGCTGTCTTGTAGCCAGATAATTTAAGCTTATCACCACAGCACTTGATGTATGATTATAATTTCTGACATTTGCTGTAAAATCAGATACTTTATAATCTGTAATTTCTTGATTTCAACTTACGTCTTCACTAGTATTCAGTGCGTAGGTGCATCAATATTGACACATAGCAATGTATTTCACTCTAGTCAATGCTGGGAGAATGTCATTGATTTTATGTTAGGCTTGACTATGGCTTTGAGCTAAAGAACAGTAATTTATCGCTGGTCCTTTGCATTGGGTTTTGTTAAACGCCTCAGAATAGAATGCAGAATGGAATGTGTGCTTAGAAATTATTTCACTATTAATTTACAGGAAGATCAGAGAAAACAGATAGAAAACAAATTAGAAGAAAAAGCTCTTGAAGAAAAGGAAGAAATTGTAAAAGAAAGACGCCAGCTTTTCCAAGAAAGGAGGCAAACCCAAGTTAAATTACGTAAAATTGAGCAGAAAATCGAAATTGTAGAAACAGTAAGTATTATAAGTTTGGCATTAAACAAAAATCATTCCATTGCCCTACAAATCACAAAAAAAATGTGAAATTATATCTTTTATGTAAATTACTGGTAGAAAACTCTTAAAACAATTTTTTTATAAGGGGAAATCACATTTTGTAATCCAGAGGATGTTGAAATAATGAGATAAATTAGCAAATGATTGTTTTATTGTTTTTTGTCAGTAAATATTTCATGAATATTCATACTTACAAAAACAAATGAAACATTTTAATCAAAAAAGAATCTCTTTCAAAGTGAGTTATCCCTAATTGAGGACAGGAAATTTAGACTGTCTTGAAAAATGAGATAAATGTTTGTTAGTGCAGAAATTTTGCCTACAGACTCTTCAGGACAGAGGTGAGCTTAAGGCAACAGGACGGGGTATAGTGGGGTTCTAGTGGATGTAGTGTAAATTATTCTCACTTTTTTTTAGTAACAGGAAAGTGATTTACATTACTCTTATACATCTACCATCACATTTAATAGACCTTAGGTCTTTTAGAATCTATGCTGAGTTCATTCAGGACAGTGATACTGTTGCAAGAGTTATCTTAATACAAAACATTGGGAACTGATACAGAATAAGCTTTCCATGGTTTTTTTTCAAAGTTAAATGAGACTGACACCAAATCCTAAAAGGATAACTTGGATTTGGGAATTTTACCTCTTAACAAAACAAAGCCAGAAAGATGCATAGGCATGTGTCTACTCAAGCCTTAGTTTTTTTATGTGGTCTGTTGTACTGGATTTTGATTCCTGTTATATTTTCTGTGTTATTAGGTAGAGACACTTCTGAAAAATCTAAGTGATAAGATTAGTTTTTTGTTTCATTTTTGTCGAGCCTTCGACTTTTGTCGAAAAAGCGAGACATAGCGATCCTACATTCCGTCGTCGGTGGCGGCGTCCACAAATATTCACTCTGTGGTTAAAGTTTTTGAAATTTTAATAACTTTCTTAAACTATCCTGGATTTCTACCAAACTTGGACAGAAGCTTGTTTATGATCATAAGATTATATTCAAAAGTAAATTTTGTAAAAAAAAAATTCCATTTTTTCCGTATTTTACTTATAAATGGACTTAGTTTTTCTGCCAGGAAACATTACATTCACTCTGTCGTTAAAGTTTTTGAAATTTTAATAACTTTCTTAAACTATCGTGGATTTCTACCAAACTTGGAAAGAAGCTTGTTGATGATCATAAGATAGTATCCAGAAGTAAATTTTGTAAAAAAAAAATTCCATTTTTTCCGTATTTTACTTATAAATGGACTTAGTTTTTCTGCCAGGAAACATTACATTCACTCTGTGGTTAAAGTTTTTGAAATTTTAATAACTTTCTTAAACTATCGTGGATTTCTACCAAACTTGGAAAGAAGCTTGTTGATGATCATAAGATAGTATCCAGAAGTAAATTTTGTAAAAAAAAAAATCCATTTTTTCTGTATTTTACTTATAAATGGACTTAGTTTTTCTGCCAGGAAACATTACATTCACTCTGTGGTTAAAGTTTTTGAAATTTTAATAACTTTCTTAAACTATCCTGGATTTCTACCACACTTGGACAGAAGCTTGTTTATGATCAAAAGCTAGTATCTAGAAGTAAATTTTGTAAAAAAAAAATTCCCTTTTTTCTGTATTTTACTTATAAATGGACTTAGTTTTTCTTCCAGTCAACATTACATACAGTCTGCAGTTTAAGTTTTTAAAACATTTATTAGATTCATAAATTATCCTGGATTTTTACCAAACTTGGACAGAAGCTACTTACAATCAAAAGATAGTATAGAGAGGAATATTTTTATTAATTTTTTTCCTCATTTTTGTTGAGCCTGCGATTAACAGCAAAAGTAGGCGAGACACTGGGTTCCGCGGAACCCTTACGAATTTTTAGGTGAATTATCTATATTTTTTGTATTAACTTTATATTGTATGACAGGAAATTTTGTTGGACTTAGCTTCTATTATACAATATATTGTTATAGTTTGGCATTGTATAGTCTTCAAAAGGAATATGGTAATCTATTGCCATAAGTGTAAATTTAAATGTTTTACTAAGTGTTCATATACAGTAATCTAGTCAAACTGAAGTTGTTGCTGTAATTTGGCTTCAAACATTCAGGGAACTTAAAACAGATGTCAGAAGTTTATACACTGTAAGTTATAGTCATAAATTTGTCATTTCAATAGACAATAGACAATACTTTATTATCAAATCTGAGACACCTAGGTAAGCAAGAGGAGAAAATATACATGTAAAGTATTTTGTTTCATACTTGCACTTGCATTTAAATTTTGTTGCAATTATTTGTTTATTACTCTGTATTTCAGAGTCAAGAATGTCAAGCTGAGAGATTAAAGCTAGCTAATTTTATACGAACCAAAGCAAAACCACACATTTTCTATTTGCCTAAAATGATGAATGAAAGCCTAGAAAATAAGAAGAAAGAAACAGCTACAGCTATAAATGGTTTGTATTTGTTAAATGTGGCTTTTATTCATTAGCATATTTTTAGCTCACCCAAAGTAGTGATTTTGCTAACGCTCGTCATTTGAAATGACGAAGGAATTGCTGATCAATTTCATCACTTAAATTTATAAAAGTAACAAAAATTAATTGTGTAAAATTTTACCTGGTGACAAGTTCCTGACCCCAAGACAGGTGTCATAATTTGTGTTTACAGGTAATCCGCTTATCCGATGGGTCATTAATGATCATCTAATTAATTCATACAAATAGAATCGGTCAGTCAGCATTTCGTCACTATGTATGAAATTGTTCATACCACATGTTTGTCGTAGTTTCATGATGATGATTGACAGAAAGACAAAAAAACAAGAACTTATTCAAACGCATTGTTTTTCTTGAATTCCGTAAAAAATGTTAAATTCAAATGAATTTGGTCTTTGACTGCCCTGAATTTTGATATAGAAATTAGAATATCAAAACGGGTGGCCATGAATAAAATGTGCTTCTACTGTGTATAATCCTTCAAAGAGCAGGAGCACACCTGAATACAAGAAAGATAACTCAATTATAATTATTCCTTGTATTGAAATACCTACTCATGATTTGTCTACATACTTCTGACTTTTAGGTCTTAAAGGTTTAGGAAGTCTTTTGAGTTATGGTGCAAATTAAGGGGTTTGGGGAGAGGGCTTGGGTATTCTTTTTTATTTTATACAAATTTTCTCTTCTCTGTATATATTAAAGGACCCATTTTTCTCTATTTTTAATATTAAAACATTTTCTGTATTCTGTAGCATGCTGACCATACACAAATTATAAGGACAGGAACATTGACCAATAGATTTTATTAAATTAGTCCCATTAGTCCCTGTTCTGAGACATACAAATCAAAACAAAAACCAGACAATATTTATCTGGAGAAATACAGCTGTTTTGTTTTAATCCTAATTGTTATATTTTTATTTGTTCATATATATTAATTACTATACTACTGAAGTCCTGAAAAAGAAAATACTCATGTTTTTGTTCATGTATTAAACCCTATGTAATAACTACTTTAGTACTACAAGTACATGTATCATGTTAAGCTGCTACCCAAGAAAAGTTGAATTTCTTATCACGCAAGGTGACTAAAGGCCTCAAAATCCTAGCTTAAACCCTACTCAAAGGGCCAAGTAAGCTTTTTCCATCACTTGGCATCCGTCATCTGTTAACTTTTACAAAAATTTCTCCTCTGAAACTACTGGGCCAAATGAGTCAGTCCTGTACTTAATTTTTCATCAAACTGATGTTCCAACCAGTACGTCTAAATAAAACAGGATTAAAGTAAACTAAGGTGAAACAAATAGAAATGATATATATTTGAAATCAGCTTGTACCTCTTAAACTTTTACTGAATCATCTTTGAAGATTAAGAAAATTAAAATTTGACTTAGAAACATTTTTATGGCCACCTAAAGCTTTTGGTTCAGTTGCTGTAGTTAACTATTCAGTTATGGTCACATCAACTTAAAACTAAGTAATCATGTTTATGCCAAAGTAGGGATTTGACCCTGAGTTCACAGTTCTCTGAACATGGATATATATAGCAAGTGGGGCATGGTGTATTATTGACACAGATTCTTCTTTCATGTGTTGACATGTTTATATATTTTTCATTACAAAAGAAATTGATTTGTAAACTAATACTGTAAACCAAAATTATATTGCAATCTGGGATCTTCTCCGATATGAATTCACCAAAAAAGTTTGAAAATAGCGAGAGAAAAATCACTGCAAAATTGACTAGAAAGGGCTAAATGTAAAATAAGTAGTGTCAAATCAGAAATTAATGAGAGCATTTACATTCATCACAATAGACTTTTGAATCTAAAGGCCCAAAGCTGAATTTTAAGAAAATTTTAGTTAGATAATATTGGCCTGTGGAGATGATTTTTACACACCCGACAGAAGTTATACAAGCCTGGGCTGGTGGTTGAGTGCGAAGACTGCATTTATTATTGCTAACCACTGGTTTCTGGTAAAAATGTGTGATCTGGTTAATGTGATTGCAAAAGTTTTGTAAAAGAAATTACTAGTGGAATTTTGAATGCATTTTTTTTTGTTATTGTGAATTTAACATGGTCACATTTTTCGTATTAATAAAACCATTGCAATAACTTCTGAATTTACAGTAACTGCCAAAAAAGTTGGATTACAGTATTGTTTAACAGTTCAGATAAATTACACGTTACTATAATTTCAGAAATGATAACCCAGAAACAGAAGCAGCTTGAAGAAGAGATAGAAGACTTGATGGCAGGAGGTCATGATCATGATCATGATCATCCAGAAGAAGAAGAGGGACAGACTGGGGAGGGAGCAGGGGAAGGGGAAGGGGATAAAATCAAAGGGGAACAACCAGACAAAGAAAACCGTGTTTCCAGACATTACAGGTCTAAAGCAGATGAAATTGCTGAACAAGAAGGAACCACAAGTAGAAAACGTAGGAAATCTAGTGGTGAAAGGGGGGAAAGGCATAAATCAGGTGAAGACAGGGACCGAAAACATAGGAAATCCGATGAACATCAAAAAGATGTCCATAAAAGTGAATCAGATAAAACAAGTGACAATAAACGTAGAAAATCTGAGCACAGTGGGGAACGAACAGAAGGTAGGCATCGGCGATTGAGTCATGGGGAGGGGGATAGGAAAGCACATCGTGAAGGAGATAGGGAGAGAAGCCGTGGGGAAGGGGAGAGAAGAAAAAGTCATGGTGAAAGAGATATGAGAGACGGTGAAAGGGATAAGAGAGATGGTGAAAAAGATAGGAGAGAGAGTCAGCATGGTGATAGTGACAGACGCAGAAGTCATGGTGATGAAGGACATAGAGAAGATAGAAGAAGCCATGGGGAAGGGGGTCATGAACATGATAGAGAGGGAAAGAAGAAAGATCACAGAACCCGGGAACCAGCAAAACGGACAGAAAAGAAAGAGGATGGTGTTAAAGTGTCAATTGACTATGATGAGCAAGAGGGGGAGGGAGAGGCAAATGAAGAATCAAATAAAACCTTGGAGGTACCAGAAAAACAACCAGAAATTATGGACTTCAGTAATATGGCAGACATTCCAATGCCAGATGATGTGCAAGTACCAAAAACAACATGATGAATTCATCAGATTAAAAATCCTAAGTCTTTGGAAAGTGTGAATTTAGATATTTTTATAAATGCACAATAGAATATATTTTGGGCTAATTATAACCTGACACTGTTTCTAAAACTGAAAACCAATCAAAAACAAGTTTAAACTTTTCCTAAACTATCTGCAATGTCTTGGTAAAGTTTGACCAGACGTGGTCTTGGTCATCTCTAAGATAACTGATTTCAAAATTACAGTGATATAACCTGAAAATGAACTAAAATGTTAAGTGTCATTGTATATCAGAGTACATGAAATGGTTATTAAAATAAAGTATTATTTTCTCTATTCACATTTTCCAGTGACTGCTTTTTCATATTTCAGGAAATACTTTTAGTTGGTGATAGTGTCAAAGTTGTCAGTTGAATGGATCAATTGAATCTAGTGGAATTCTTTTTCATTTAAAATTTGGGCTACTATTATAGTAGGAAAATAGCATTTGATGTTGATTTTAATCTTACCTAAATATTGACCAATATCAAGTTTTGAATATGAATAGACATAAAAAGACAGTTCATGCCTAAGAGGTTAATACTTTTTTTTAAAATATTTTACCAGTGAAAAAAAATTCATAACTCATGAAAATTGTGGGTTTTAATCTCTGTATTTGATATTAACAAGTTGTGAAAACAGGTGATAAAAGTTATTTTAACAGGTAGTAAAGGTGAGTATTTTAATTAGACTTTTATCATTTGTTTTCTTACTGAAAATATTTTAGTCTTAAAATAGCATTGTTTGAAAGTGTTTTGAATGTGAATCATGTATTTGTAATGTGAAGCGGTATCCATGAACCATTTGTTTTTAATGAAATTGGTATACATTTCATATTAGATATATTAAATTGCATATAACAAGTAGTTTAATAGTACTTTGCTACTATATTTCAGTACTTCACTAACTTTCTATTTCAAATTGTCTTTCTTATACATGTATCAAACTGCATAGTCATATTCAGCAACTATACATATTAAACAGATTTAAATGTATACTTCTATGTTTAAATTTTGATGTTATTTGTAATTAATTATGAAATGGAAAATCAAATACTGTAAGTTGTTTGTTTGTCTTATGAATTATTAATATTCATAATTTTATAAATGACAGTTTTTAACCTTACTCTGTGTCTGTTTTTACTTATCATTGTCCAAAGAAAAATATCCGGTACAGTGGAAAATATGAAGGTTGAGGAATGGTAAGAGCCATTATGAAAAAGCAAAAAAAAAACTCAATTCCTTAATCAATTTAAAATTATGTTCATTTCATTGGGTATGCTGTTTCTTGCAATGTCAAACACTTTGTTGTTTCTGATTAAGTCGGTTTAATGGGAACCACTAATGGTAAATAAATGATATTTGGTATGCAGGTGTACCAGCATTGGCTCATCTCGTTTCCATGGAGATTAATTCTTGTGAACATTTAAGGATTTAATTTAATGGAATTCTAATACTTTTGTGATTTTCAAGTTGAAAAGGACCAAAAAATGGCATCAACATGTCTCCTTAAAATGTAGGATTATTCAGAATTGATTCATTAATCATGCTATTTTAAACCACTGATGATTCCTAACATTTTTGCAAATGATATAGCGTCTTGTAAGAATATTTGAAAGGTGCTGTTAATACAGATATATGTTCTGGTCATACTTACAGAATATACTTTATTTAAACATCCAAATTTCCATAACCTTTATAGAAATACCCCTAAACGCGGATTGCAGTTAAAATAAAAAGATGAATAACAAGAAATGGCCAAAAATTTCTAAGTTTGAATGCAAACTTCCCAAAGACAAAACATAAAAACATCTAATTGCAGTAAGTCAAAACAAATCGAATAACATTAAAAGACTTCTACTTGTTATTGGTCTTTATCAAGATAAGCATGCAATCTTAAATTTTCCCATGATTAAGATGACCAATAACTACTGAGGCTCTTGCTCTGAGTGGCAGATTGTGGGTTCTATCTCTGGCTTGTTCAAAGCAAGATCTTTAAAATTGGTATCTGCTTCTTTCCCACTATTCACACAGTATTTAGGAAAAAGTACAAAACATATTAGCTTGGAGTAGAAACAATTTAAGCAGGGAATTGTTACATGGTGGACCTACCTTACAAGCTTGCTTGTTAGAAATACATTTTACCTTCCATATCCTGGTCTAGTACAAAAAAGGTTTTTTTTTCATACAAGACCTATACTGTCTGGAGCTGTTTTAAAGAACTTCCTGTGTCTAAAAGATTTGAAATTGTTCATCCATTGTCTTTAGTGAGACCAATTAAAGTGTATGAATATGGTATTCAAGAATATTCTCAGACTAAATAAAAGAACAGTCTTATCTTTATAGCACTGAAACCAGATCTAACTAATTATACTAATTAACAAAGTCTAAGTTGTAGGTTATTGTGTGAAATCAACTACATTTTGTTTATCAGCAATTCAAAGATATATACCTCTGTCTGAAACAAATAAGTGATTCAATGAGAAGATCAGCAGCTCACCATTATTTTTCACTTTAAAAAAGTGAAATTAATCAATAAAGCTCATAAAATGACCCCAAAAATTCGAGTGAAAGAGTCCCATAGGTTCTTCGTGCAATCACTCTGCAAAGTTTAAAGATTTTTTATGGAAAATTATTGGACACATGCTTGGTACCCTCTAGAGCATTCAATGACAAAAAATAATTTAAAAAAATCTAGAAACAAAGATTTAAACCTGTCTAAAACAGAAGGAGCACATCTTGAAGAAAACCATTGGAGTGGCACATGACACAAACTAGGTGTCCTCAAAATCATTTAATAACACATATAACTTAAGTTCAACACACAGGGATATTGTGAAAATAATTCAGATATTTTTGAATAAGGTCAATCTGTGCAATCCTGTGAAGAAAATTTGTATTTACAAACAACTCAAACCAAGTACCCGCTCAGCATTCACTGACATAAATGACTAAGCTTAACTCATTGTAAATCTGGGGAAAAAATACATTTGAATCTCCACAGAAAGGTTGAAATCATCAATCGGTGTGCATTTTTGCACTGTACAACTTTTATATAATGTTGAAGAAATACTGTTGGAGAGACGCATGACACAAACTAAAGGGACATTCTATGTGTTAGGACAGACAAATAAGAGCAGTTACTGAACCTGCTGGTGGTTCTTGCTACCAACTGAATGAAAATGTCCCAAATATGCATAGAATATCTGCCACTGTACATGCACCAATCAATTAAATGACCAATGACAATAGGATAAGTGCATTTTTATGCCCCCGCCGTAGCGGTGGGGGCATTAAGTTTTACCCTTGTCCGTCTGTACGTACGTACGTACGTCCCAAAATTGGTTTCCATTCTCTAACTTGAGTTTGCCTCAACCAAATGTTATGAAACTTATACACAATGCTTATTACCACAAAACACAGATCAAGTTTGAATTTTGGTGTCGTCACTTTAATCGTTCTAGAGTTATGCCCCTTTACAAATGGAGAAATTGCAAAATTTTTAGTTTCCATTCTGTAACTTAAGTTTGCCTCAACCAAATGTTATGAAACTTATACACAATGCTTATTACCACAAAACACAGATCAAGTTTGAATTTTGGTTGCGTCACTTAAACTGTCTAGAGTTATGCCCCTTTATAAATGGAAAAATTACAAAAAAATTATTTTATTCTAAATATCAAGTAATTTTTATTTTGGAGTTATCTTCCTTTGTCCATGATTATAGTTGAATCAACTACAATCAATGCTTAATACAATGCAATGTTTAATTTTGACTTCCACTGATAAAACACAGATCAAGTTGAATTTGGGTAGTGTCACTTTAACCATTATTGAGTTATGCCCCTTTATAAATCGAAAGATTGCAAAATTTTTAGTTTCCATTCTGTAACTTAAGTTTGCCCAAACCAAACATTATGAAACGTATACACAATATTCATTACCACAAAACTAAGATCAAGTACAAATTTTGTGTTTCCGTTTTCTAACTTTAGTTTGCCTCAACCAAATGTTATGAAACTTATACACAATGCTTATTACTACATAATACAGATTAAGTACGAAATTTGGTGGCGACACTTTTACCATTCTTGAGTTATGTCCCTTTATAAACATAAAAATTGCTGAATTTTTTAGTTCGTCTCAACCAAATGTTATAAAACTTATACACAACCGTTCTAGAGTTATGCGTGTTTACAAATAGAAAAATTGCTGAATTTATAGTTTCTGTTCTCTACTTAAGTTAGCCTCAACCAAATGTTATGAGACTTACACACAATGCTTATTACCACAAAACTCAGATCAAGTTCAAATTTGGGTAGCGTCACTGGGTACGTCTAAACACTGCTCAGGACCTCCTGAGTGCACTCAGGACATACAAAGTGCACTCAGGACCCTTTATAGGCATCGTATTTGCACACAGGGTGGTTGTATATATTCGTTACATGCTACTTATTTAAGAGTTAAATTTTGGTAGAATTTGAAATCGAACTTAGATAGATATGTCAATTCTTATAAAATAATGAGGGCACGTGTCACTGATTACATAACTACTGAGCCGTGAATTATTCAATCAACAAAATTGATTGGATTATCTTTATTGTTGTTTATGAATTGTGTTGTTACTACAGTGTTACGTTTAAAATTAATAACACGATGTTTTAAGTTTTAAGGGATTGTTTAATGTAGTTAAATTTAAATTATGCATAGTAAATTTTACGTTTATGGAGAAAAAAAAACAAAAAAAAAACATTTCTATGGATACCTATGGATCTTCAGAACTCTGGCACTGGTGTACCATTATATTCTGCTCTACTTCATCATTGTTGTAATTAATTGTATTGAAATTATCATATTTGGGTATTATTCGATGTACTTTTTCAGTTTATTTTTCATGATGACGGCTAAATTAATTTTGTTGTGGTCTGCAGTTCATGCATAAAGAAAATAAAAAAAATCGTGTTATTTTATAGTTGCCGTTTTTCTGTAACAAGTTCGATTTTTGTTTTTCTTTGGGATTTTTTTTTCTCTCTCTCCAAATCAACTTATTAAACAAAACCAATGTTTACTGAATATCAAATTTTATTGAATTTGTATATCTTTATTCTCAATAAACCATATACATAGGTATAGAGAAGACAATTATGTACAATATTTACAATGACAATATTTAGATGAATTTATTTATATGATTTGCTAAGTCCAGAGACATATAATACAATTTGTATTATATGTCTCTGCTAAGTCTAATATCTTGGCTGCGTACATGCTGTCCTTGGTTTTTTTCTTTGGTTTGGCTTACGAGCAAGTTTCTGGGGTTTTGGCACTTCAAAATATGTGCACGAAGACTTAGTCGTGGTATGAACGGATTTCGTGTCAATCAACAGTCTCCGAAATAGTCTTTCTCGCTGTTCTTTTGTTTTCGAAAACCAACATTGAAATGATACATCATGTTTTCTGTACGGACCGAAATGTTCATAATTTTTTTTACAGTAAAATACCAAAATATGATAAATGGCGAGAGTTCAATATACGATAGCACTTATTTAGGACAGTAAACTGACAAAAATAAACATTGGAAGAACTGAGAAACAAAATTAAATATTTGTTTTCATTTGTTTTACAATAAAAAATCATTATTTTAATTTAGTTTAGAATCATACTACAATCTTACTTACAAAATGTTTAGAAATAATACCCAAATATGATAATTTTCAGAAAACGGAGACAAATTCATTTTTTAACAATATATCTTCATTGTTCTATATTTTTCAAAAAGACATCTTGGTTTTGTTTGTTTGCCAATATTACTTGTATGAGGCAAGTACCATCACTAATCACTCCTAATTATTAAAGATCAAACGACCTAATCAACATGATAATTGATATTCAATATAATCATCGGTCATGCCTGACATATTCAAAATCGGCGCGTGCCAATGAAAACTTCAATAACTTCTTAAATATTAAATTGATTTTATCAAAACAAAAATTATAAGATGGAGAATTAAATTATCTATCGAATGCATACCTTCACTACTCACTAAAACAACTATTTCATGTCCTGAGTGCACTTTGTATGTCCTGAGTGCACTCAGGAGGTCCTGAGCGGTGTTTAGACGTACC